CATGTCGGGGTCCTACTCCGTAACAATAAAGCTCTAATAACAATAAGCAACAGGAACTAATGACTTCAGCACATGGCACGACGAAGAACTACGTAATGATTTTAGCTGGTAGAAGTGTATAACTCCTACCACTACCAGACGACCCTTAAAGAAGAATATGGACTCCACCCCCGAGGCATATGGATTTGCATGATACATTTCCCTACGTTAAAAAAAGCATCGTGACTAACGTGACAGGATTACAAAAAAAAAAATGCTAATTAATAAAGAACCAATGACTTCAGCACATGGCACGACGAAGAACTCCGTAATGATTTTAGCTGGTAGAAGTGTATAACTCCTACCACTACCAGACGACCCTTGGAGAAGAATACGGACTCCACCTCCGAGGCATATGGATTTGCATGACGCATTTCCCCACGTTAAAAAAAGCATCGTGACTAACGTGACAGGATTATAAAAAAATGCTAATTAATAAAGAACCAATGAATACAGCACATGGCACGACGAAGAACTCCGTAATGATTTTAGCTGGTAGAAGTGTATAACTCCTACCACTACCAGACGACCCTTGGAGAAGAATACGGACTCCACCCCCGAGGCATATGGATTTGCATGATGCATTTCCCCACGTTAAAAAAAGCATCGTGACTAACGTGACAGGATTACTTGTATGTTTATTACTCCCGTTTATTTACAATTCCTTCTTACAAGTTTCGATATTATTTTATGTTTGCTAATATGTAATTTGTTTTGTGTTATTAATACAATACGTAAATTTGAAACATGTCTACTAAAAATTATTTAATACTTAATCTTGAAACATTTTAAGACTATATTATTTTCAGAGAGAAATAGCATTATGGTGCTGCCGACTTTACCTGAAAGCCAGGTGATCAAAGCTTTGCCACAAGGTGTCACGATAGTTCCGCTTGCAAACAAGCCTTGCAAGCCTTGCCTCCTCTGGCAAGAACTATCTGAGTCCGAAACGTTTTGAATAAGAGAAGTATTAGTAACTTCTAATACACGGTAAAAGTATTAACAATTATTATCTGTTGATGATTGTTTAACATTTTAAAAGGAATTAAGAAATTGTCACAAAGGTTACGGTTTCCTCACAATGGAAAACAAAATGGGTTTGCGGCCGCCATATGAATCGATTACATTCCTGGCACTATCTCCGTCATACTTCAGCAGCAGTCTGCCACCACCTAGCATGAATGTTCTTACTGCGCTACTCAAGACTACAATCATTACCTCAACATCTTGAGTCACAGTGGTACAGCCAGGAAAATTAAGGATATGTCCTACAAGTAGCACATTTGCTACATGTAGCAAATTCATAGTGACGAGAGTTAAATTCGTAGCAAACAATCGGACACACATAGCTTCCGCAGCTCTATGCATTACAGCTGGGTGTCGCTGTGGATGCCTCTTACGTTACTGCATAAGATTATGCAAAATCATCAATTACTGGTGTCTTTCTTACAAAACTGTTATCAGCGCTCATACGCCATTAAGACTACTTATCTAGACATATCAGAATCAATATCTCGAAAGTGTTAAAATTATATATCGAATCTTTTATGCAAATACTGTTCGACGTAATAATAAGTCTAAATGTTATTTTTACATACAAATATAATAATTGAACTTGGTAGACAGATACACAATATCTGCATAATATGGCAAAACTAGGAAACCTAATCATATTTCATGTGTGAATGAACTAAGAAAAAGAAGATAGATCATATCGTCACCTCTATAGCAAATTTACGAATCTGCAGTTTTTTCAAATTTGACATTTCTTTAAAAACCTACATTTTGCGCCATAGTACTTATTGTGGCTTATTTTCAAATTTCTACCTCTAACGGTTAAAGAAATCGAGTAGCTCGAATCTCCATATTTTTGTGATATATCCAAAGTAAACTTACTAAATTTAGAAACATTGTTTAGGCGAAGTAGATTTCATGACCTCTAGCAAAAACTTACCACGGTAAAATTATGAATCTGTCATATTCGTGAATCTACATTGGGTAAAACTTTAACGAATGTGTCTTTTAGCTCACGCAAAATTACAGAAATGACATATTCGTAAGTTTACATTGGGAGAATGTATATATCATAGGAGTCAATTAGCCCATAGCAAACTTACGAATCCTTGCAAAAGTTGCAGAAAGAACAAAGAATATGAATACCTTGACTATTTCGGATTGAATATTACAATAATGTATTCATTATACAAGAGGAAATGTGAAGACGAAGGCGCAACCCCAGCAGGAATAGAGACTTACCGGAAAATATTCAGATCATATTATAATTATTAAGATTTTATGTGCCAAAAAAAGATTTCGCCAAAAAAATGCGTCGCTCACAATTTGACTGACTGACCTGACAATTTCTGAACAAGAAATCATTCAAAACACCTTAAGCGACGCGACGACGCTTATCTGCGTCGAGATGCTGACAAAGCAGCAGCTAAGAATGGCTCGACAATTTTGGCTTACAATTTCGATTTAGAGGCAATCCTCCAAACCCTTAAAGCTGCATCCGGCACATTCTTTTATGTTCGCAAATTAGCTGTCTACAATTTGACTTTTTATAAATTTGACAATCAAGACGTAGATTGTTTTACATGGGACGAAACAGAAGGAAAACGGAGAAGTGCTGAAATTGCAACTTGCGTCTATAAATATATTTGTAATCACGGGCAGGGTATAACACATGTGAGAATGATATCGGACAATTGTGGCGAGTTATGTATTCTTGTAAATTATAGTATTTGTCAAGATTTATTTTATTATAATTTTCAATGCATAAGTGACAAAGATAGAACTAAAATGTTCTGTCATGTTTATTTTTTTATAAAAGTTAAATATTTTCTATCGCAATTTAAACTCTAAATTAAAAGATTATTAAAAAAAAGTAATTTATTTGTTGAAGTACCATTTTTATACTTTATACTTGTTTCCTAAATATATAAACAGCAAAAGTGACCAAACACCCTATGAGTTTCATTGATTTGTAGCTGTTGTACACAGAAACGCACAGTAGTATAAAAAATATTGTCATTTTTTAAAATATGTGACTTGGATACAGTGGCGTAGCTAGGTAACCAAAGGCCTGGGGGCAAAAAATAAACCAGCCTAAGAACAGAAGGGAGTTTCCCGCAAGTTTCAAACAAATTTGTTCGAGACTTGTTGGGAATTCCCCCATATTTTTCAAATAAGATGCCATTATGAATGTCGCGTTTCTGGAATCTGATTTATATTCCGAATGTGAGAGAAATTTTCACTAGTTTATTTATAGTTTGTACATCAGTCCAAGGGGCCCCTGAGATTGGCGAGTCCCGGGGCACTGCCCCGTACAGCCCTAACTGATATTATAAAGTGAAAAGATTTGTTTGTTATGATTTTACTCAAAAACTACTAAACCGATTTTATAAATTCTGAAATGACCATTAAAAAACTAAATCTTCGCCAAGTAACATAGGCTATACTATATTTAAAAATAAATTTGTGGTCCATATCCTATTTGGAACAATTTAACCGGCATTAAAATATTACCTATATAAGTCATTATTTTGCGTACGCTGCAAAAACTATTGATGATATATAAAATAGTGTTGTATATATTTATAGTATATATTAATATAATCATGATAACTCACAAAACTACTTCAAAAGCAATGTCTATGTGTTACCGATAACATGTATTATAACGAAACTTTAAAAAATATATTTACAAATAAAAAATATCTTATCCTGACTGACATAATCACATCATCAAAATAGCCCATCATGACGAATTGCACAAGCATTAATCACGACGGTTTAAAGAGAGAACCACGTGGTGGTGGACTTGATAGGGTATATTGCAAGTAATTGGGCTATCAGACCCCATTACTCACAATCCGTTCCTCCCTATCGCGGATATTACTTTTATACTATTAAAGTGATTGTCAAAGCATTAAAGTCAAGGGGGCCAGTTTAATCGTGCATTTTGTACTAAACGGTAGGGATGAGTTTTTACTAATACCAATAATTTTATTCCGTACATGTTTCACCTTTGTATGTAAGACATCAAAAGCTAATAATTCCCGATAATTAGATTGTTTTTCACTATAACTCGAGTTGATCAATTCGTTTGATGATGTTTGGCTTAACCTACAACTGGTCAAACGTTTACGATTCAGCCAAGTAATTCTCATTCGATCATAAAGCACAATTAGGGGAGAGTCGGGTAGCCCCGGCCGGCGGGTACCCTCGGTCAGTGCTAGTTACAGGAAAGTTCGCACACATACATGCACAAGTGTCACATCCACACGACCGCAGCACCATTTAGCCGTATATTGCGATGTGCGAATCACGATGTGCGAACAACACGTGACATTCGTTTGTTTAACAGTACCTATACTTTTGTGTGCGCCGTTTACTTTTTGAGTGCGGTTATTGGTTATACAATGTAAGTACTTCACCATAGTATATTACTAATTCTGTAAGTTAGTCATTATAGTTAACAAATTAGGTAAATACTTGACGTTGTTTTTATTGATATTTCCTATATGAATAAAAACATAGGATCGAGGCGGTCGGGTACAATCGGACACTTTTTTGTCGGGTACCCCCGGACATTTCTTTTATGACGAAATGTTTAGTTTCTTGGATTGCATAGTGAAATTAAGAAACGTGGTAGTTTCACCATGTCTGTTTGTCTATGCATCTCTATGTTACAGTCTTTTTTTATTACAATGTTGAGACAAGTGTATAAAATCTTGTGTCTTTTGCAGATAATGCCAAAATTCAAAGGAAGGATTACGCCTAGAGGAAATTGGGACGAAAATAAAATGAAACAGGCTATAAGATGTGTACTGGAAAAAAAGATATCGGTGAGAGAGAAGCAGCTGAGAGATATGATGTGCCGAGAAGCACCCTTCAGGATCGGATAAAAGCTGTCGGTAGTGGACAAGAAGCACAGTTCAAGCCAACACTAGGGAGATATGAACATATGTACCTTCTCAGAAAATCAATCACTGCAATTATATAACCATGTCAAAGACCTCGATAATCGCCTGATGCCGCTGACCAAAGTAGAGTTTTTGAAATTGGCATTTCAATTTGCAGAACGTTTAAAAATACCTCATAGGTTCAATAAAGAAAAGAAAATGGCCGGCAAAGATTTTTATTATAGCTTCATAAAGAAATACCCAGATATTGCTCTCAGAAGTCCAGAGTCAACCAGCATTGCAAGAGCCGTTGGGTTTAATAAACCACAAGTCTATCGGTTTTATGATCAGCTCCACCAACTACAAGATAAATACAAATTCCCTGCCTCCAGAATATACAATGCTGATGAAACGGGGGTCTCCACTGTACACAAGAATGAGAAAGTTATTTCTACTAAGGGAAAAAAGCAAGTTGGCAAGTTGACTTCTGGTGAAAGAGGACGAAACATTACATTGATGTTTGCTATGAGCGTGTGCGGCCATTTTATACCTCCACTTTTTATTTTCCCGAGGAAAAGGATGGATAAAAATGGTCGTTTGATGATTGGAGCTCCACCAGATAGCATTGCTATTCCACACGAAAGTGGTTGGATGAATGGTGAGATATTTTTGATGTGGCTCCAGCATTTCAAACAGCACGTACAGCCTTCGAAGGAGAACCCTGTCCTTCTGATTCTCGATGGACATGGAAGCCATAAAGAGTTGGCAGTGATAGAATTTGCTCGAGCTAATCACATCCATATGATTAGCACTCCACCACACACAACACACAAGGTGCAACCTCTGGACAGGGTATTTTTCAAGCCGTTTAAGTCTGCATTTGGTTCAGCAAGCGCAATGTGGATGAGACAAAATCCAGGGGCTAGGATCACTGATTATGACATCGCTGCTTTAGTCAATTCAGCTTTCGTTAAGGCAGCGAGACTAGAAATAGCACAGAATGGGTTCAAATGCACAGGGATTTATCCATTCAATAGGGAAATTTTCAGTGATTTGGATTTTTTGCCATCATTGATGACCAATATTGAACAGGAACCAGCTTTTTCTGAAGAGACAGTCGTGGGATCACAGTTATCAACTAGTTGCAATCAGCAGAAATCCAGATGCTGCAATCAACAGTCATCCTCTAGTGGTACCCAGCAGCCATCCACAAGCTGCACCCAGCAGCCATCCACTAGTTGCACCCAGCAGCCATCCACTAGTTGCACCCAGCAGCCATCCACTAGTAGTAACCAGCAACCATCTACCAGTCTTATATCACACCCATCAGCCAGTGGCAATACGCAGCCATCATTTATGCCCGCATCAACGTCAGAAATTACAGAATCAACTGCACCTGCTACTGTAAATGAATTGCTTAAGCAGTTGTCCCCTCTTCCCGATGCATCCAAGAGGCGTCTTGCAGCGCGTTCACGAAAAACACAAAAAAGTGAGATTCTGACATCTTCGCCCTTCAAAAATGCGTTGGTAGAGAAAAAGGCTGCGACCAACACAACCAAGGCTGCAACCAATAAAACTACAACGAATAAAAGAAAGGCGGCAACTAATAAAATGAAAACAAAGAAGAATATTCAAAGTTTGACTCAGCTAGAAAGAGACCACGATACAGAATGCATCATTTGTGGAGAAACGTTCGAGGAAGATTGGATCCAGTGTCATAGATGCAAAGACTGGGCGCACGAAGCGTGTGTGGATATTGATCCGTCGCTGGCTTACTACTATTGTGACGTATGCAAGGCTAAAGAACGATTTGGTCATCAGTAATTCTATGTCCGGGGCTACCCTCCAAAAATTATTTTAACAAATATTGAAGACTGCTTTTGAGACTTGATTTAAGCTAATATAATAAAACTATCAGTTTCTAACTTAATTAATATTATAAGATATATGTTTAGTTTAAGTTAAAGTTTAAAAATAAATGTTTATTTCGGTTGATTTTCAAGATATCATGAGTTTTATTTATGTGGCCGAGGCTACCCGACTCTCCCCAATCTATTTTACTTAAAAGATATTAATACTTCATCAATCATACTATCGAAATATATATATTTTTTAAATTGTAACAAAGTTAATCCTACATAAAGACAATGTTCTTTGTAGAAAGCTAAATATAAAAAAAATTCAAATGTAATAATTACGTAGGTTGCGAAATATTCCCTAATACGCCATTATTGAAGAAGTTACCAAAGTATACGTGACGCTTTGGAAATGATGGTATATATAAATATTATATACAATTTATAATATACATTAAGGTAATAAATATAAGTATATACAGTAATAACCTAATTAGTGTGGTAATTTATGCAAAAACTATGAAAGATGTAATTTGTCATATAGCGCGGGTGGTTAAAGCTACCAAAACTATATAATTTTTGAAGCCTATAATATATATATGTATATATACATACATATTGTTATGCAAGGACAGATAATATAATTATAAAATTGTCTTTTATGCTAATAATTACTTTAATATTATGCAAAGATAAGGATTATGTAGTACGAATTTTTTAAATACATCGAAAAATAAGGCGGTAGATGCATAAATATCAATAAATACATTTGTTTCCCAAAGGATCCTTCCAACAACCACTAGCTTCTAAATGTAATGCAAACACCTACTGACCTGCAGCCCAGACCAGGGTCTCTTCTTCGATGTTTAGGAGCCGCTACAAACTGCTACCAACCGACTGGCTGTGACGTGTCACGGGAGCTTACTTGTTTATGACAGAAAAACACCACTTCAAATACTCGTAGTTATCTTGAGAGTGCTTGGATAACAGTTCATATCAATATTTCACCATCAGGACTACGATACCATAGAAACATAACGGAGCAGAAAATTATTTGAACTTGATCGCCATGTACCGACGCCGAAACGATTAAAAAGAGCGCTAGTAGTTGCGCCCTCAACTCACGCGGTAGTATGATCCTAAAGACCAAACCGCTAAACCAGTAAGTGTCACAATTATGCCTAGATGGCGCTAGTGGTAATTTTAAATAATGTCTTCGAAATATTAAATATATTAATAATTATTTATTACATAGAAAATGTATTATACATATTTATAAATAGAGTATCTTATCTGAATGATAAATTTATTATTTTATTTTATTTTTTATTTGTATTGTGTAATGTGACCCAAACAAGAGGGTTACCATCCCAGCAATTTATACTACATTTATATTATAAAGTAAATTATAAGGAAACGGTTTCATCAGATAAGATTGTATGATTTGTTGTTATGTTCTACAGATGAACTTTTATTAAGGACGGTATCAATGGAACTTAAGATTTTATATAACTTTAATATTTTGAAAGCAGATCACTTTTGTTAACTGTAAAATATTAGAATTAAGTATACGAATCCCAATTTATAATATATGAATTCCTATTGACAAGAAGTAAGTTACGTTGGTGTATTGAAATTGTTTCTTCACTCTAAGTCAAGACTATTATTTAAATAGAATTTAATTATTGTTGTCAGATAATAACTATCTAACGGCTTATCATAGACACAAACTACATGAGAGTGCCAAAGTAGGACTTATTATAATCAAGTCCAAGCCACTTGGCTGCAGTAGTGACTTGACCATCATTCAGTAGGGCTAGATTGCAATCATCTAATATTTCTAGAATATGTCTGGATTTTACCGTATTACATCTCTAAAAGGCATGTTATGCGTTAAAGTTGCTACTGATTATTAATGGTCTAGGTATTTTTCAATAAAGTACAAGTTTAGTTTTAGTGAGAGGAACACTACAGCTAGTAGGACAATAAACAGTAGCTAACGAACTTTTTTTTTTATTCTTAATTGTAATCTGAACAATCAATAAATTAATTAAGTTGTATTGAATATCTTCAAATAGAGTAATAACAACGTGATTATGAAAATTACAATCTATAAATCCTCACTTATTATTTAAACGACCTATTGGAGTGATCTATTCACGCGACATACGCTGCTTTACCGACTGCACTGCATCTAGTAAAGATCTGCCACCGGTTTCGCCGCATTACCCAGCGTCTCATCACCTCACCTGCCCTCTGCTGTTGATGGCCCACCTGATGGAAAGTGGTAACCGTTGCCTATAGACATGAGCAGTACCATGGTCATAACAGAGTAGTAGTATATCTAAATAACTGTTATACATAATTGTTTCGCCCATGATTTCCGGAGACTTGGGATTATACTACATAAACGACACGTTCTATTTTGGTATCCGGCCGATGACCCCCTCTCCCATTGTACAGGCTTCTCATTCGTTGCCTGCCTGACCTCGATGCGGCACGGCAGCGACTATCAAGACATATCCATCGTGGGTAAGTGCCTGCCAGGGACGGAAAGGAGTTGTTAGTAATAAGGTGTAATGGCCTCATTGCTAGCAATGTACCCTATCAGGTTGACCTCCACGCGGTTCCCTCTGGAAACCATTGTGATTAATTCTTGCTAAATTCATCACAATGGGCTAAATGACCTGCTTTTGTCCTCACTTATCATTTCTCAATGATGCCCCGCCAGTATATCCCGCTAGCACAGGCAGGACTACTATGCCATTTTCAACCATAAAAAAAGTGCCTGCCCGAATGATTGGAACATTTTTTCAGTTGAACTCTTGTTACTCTTTCTCGTGCTCATGATATCTTATTTTGTAAAAACAATGTAAATATGTATATACAAATTAATAAAATTTAAAAGAGCACATTATTTTGTTCAAGCGTTTCCGCGCTTTTCATTAAACCCTACAGTTCATAATAAAAAATGTCAATGTCAAATGTAAATCACGCAAGTGGAATATTTTATTTTATGTAAGTATTATATCGAGACAAAACAAGTAAGTTATAAGACCAAAACAGATTTTTTCAATCTTTTATCGATATAGTCTGAAGGAACACCTCTCCTGTTATTATATCTTTTTTTCCTTTTCATTTGTTTTTATGGATATTAGTAAATTACTGGTCATATTCAATGATTTACTTTGAATATTTATATGTAGCCTTATTGCACTGAATATTCTTCTTGAAAATTTTATATATTTGAAAATACAACACTATTTAGATAAATTATCTAAATAGTGTTGTAATTCTGCATGCCCGAATTGTCGTCATAGTCGTTCAATTATACTTGTCAGACGTTTGACAGATTGTACCGCACGCACATCACTACTGAATTAAATCAATGGCGTCACCGTCAATTATTCAACCCGCTACATGAATTTTGTAATTTTCAACTATATACGCAACGTGTTGATATTTAGTTTTCAGTTTTGTTTCATATTATCTTTATAAGGTAAGCTATATATGATTATAATTCATCTTTTCCATCTATATTACAACAAAAAACTTGTGTTCCGATTCTTCACAAAATGGACGTCAACTAGTATTGTGACGTGATTATATAAAATGAATAACATGTTTGTGGGTATTTGTGAATGTTTTATCAAATTTATGGTAAATAAAATGGTAGTTACATTTTATATATATGTCACATATCAAATGAGCGTAAATATGGTATATGAGATATTACACATTATGGTCTGCCATTGTAGTAGAAATGAGGCATGGCGATGACTAGTCTTGCATTAAAAGTGCGTCGGCTTCTTGGCTACTTGAACAATGTTCCTGACAATGGCGAAGTCTTTGTTCCTACATTTATTTCAATTTATGTTACACTTGTTTTATTTACATGATGTTTATTACGGTCATTGCCCTCATAATGTAGTATACTATAGAATCGAGTGTATTTAGTACAGATGGAATGCTGTCATAGAGCAATCTCAAAAAAAATCTTTTGTGTCTTAATGTTAAATCCTAAAGTTACTACATAAAATTCATTATTTAATATATATTAGTTGTAATTAAATATAAAATTAATGGCTAGTAGTCATCCTAATATTTATATATGTGCTACCTTATTAATATGTAGATAAGGTTTCAGCTATTTTAGATATATGTTTAGTTTTTCTATTTTATTATACTTATTTTACTTTTGATATTCAATAGGTATACTATTTCATCATGAAAATCATCATAAATTTATTGTTGTATTGAATATCATCACTCAGATCATAATAAGTATAGTAAAACACTGTTTTAAATAAAATTTATGCCTTTATGCGAATTTAAATTATTTAGCATATATTAAAATTTAACCACTATAAGCTTTGCGATTCAGTAATAAATTTTTTTTTATCATTTTTTAATAAGAATGAATTCTTTTTTATTTATAACATCCTTCTTCTATACTAATGAGTAGTCATCTACCTGATAACTATAGATGTCATAGAGTTTGTCACTTATGACAACCTACATTCATTGCCACTTCTTGGAGCTAAGATTTTATATGTATTACTAGCTTTTACCTGTAACTTCATATATGTGAGATGTGTTCACTGACTAAGATGAAAAGTAGCCTATGTCTTTCTTTATACCTTACACAACCCTATATATGCGGGCTGGAATATAGTCCTAAATATGCCAATGATCCCATATAGTATGTGTATACCAAATTTCATTGTCTTTCAGATTAATATATCATAGTGTATTGAACATAAACATTATTTATTTTTTTTATTTATAAATTGCTCCTTATAAAATAAAATATGATTCATGATATCATCTAAGTGTTGAATATGTATTGATATGAAATTTTTATAATTTTGATGTTAAGTACATGTGTAAGTGTGATGTTAACTTTTGCTAGCAATTGCTTGGTGCTATCATTGGATGTTACTTTTATGATATTGAGAATGGCAATCAAGCTGATGGCCCACCTGATGGAAAATGGTAACCATCACCTGTGGACATTACAGAATGCAATATTATGTCTATGGTATTGCACATGCATTGCTATAATTGAGAACTATGATGTTATGCCTCTATAACCTATAATTTCTCTGCCACAAAACTTTCCCTTCAAATCAAAACAGCCATGCAAGCACAGCTGCTTCATAGTAAAAACACAATTGAGACAGTGGTACCCATGCTGATGACTTTTATATAGATTCCCTTTTTTAACTCTTCTTTTAATTTATTGATTAAATGCTCAGGCGAGTTCTTATTATCTGTAAATCCTGTTTTTAATAAGATATGTATGTGTTACATCCTTTGCTGGACTCTATATAATAATGTCATTTACATTTTTGTTCCATTTTGTATGACTGTGTATTTCTTTTACTCATTATGCAATTACTTATATTAAATAGAAATCTTAAACATTAGGCGAAGTAAAAATTTACATGATTTATTCTTATGTCTTATGTCTTTCTCTATTGAACTAAAATGTTTAAATTACAAACATTTTTTCCTTACTACATACTTATTTTACTGACTCTACATTCATCATCTATTAATAATAATATTGTATTGAAGCACTAATCAGTGCTGTTTATGAATCATTTACATTTTATATAATTATATTATTCTATATATAAAAACATTATCCTGCTTTATAATTAATCAGCAAAATACCTCAGCCTATTTTGAATTTATCGTGTCTTGTTTTTTATTGAAGAATAATTATATATTCTTTCAATATGCTAGTATGTAGGTTGTTATAACACCAACTGAATATCATATTAAAAGTATTCATATTTTTGTTTCAGGTAACTGCTTTTGCTCGAAGTTGCTATGATCAGTGAACCACTGCAAAAAGCGAGCCAAAGCTAGAAGTTTTGAAACATATATTACAAAGTTACCAAACATTACTTCAAGATGCAGACAATTAAGTGTGTAGTAGTGGGTGATGGTGCTGTTGGTAAAACCTGCCTGCTTATAAGTTATACAACAAACAAGTTCCCTTCAGAATATGTGCCCACTGTCTTTGATAACTATGCTGTCACTGTTATGATTGGAGGAGAACCTTACACTTTAGGTCTCTTTGATACTGCCGGTTAGTATGTTTCATATATTATTTTTGTGTATATATATTATCAGCAATGTATATAATTTAGTATTATATACAATGCCTAAGCATTAGAATATCTATACTTATATATAAACCGAAAATTTAAATTAGATGTGAAACATTATTTAATTTATACTTTACCTAGGTATTTACTCTCACAGTCAAAATCTCACAGATTAATCAGTCTTACCTCTTGTTTTATGAAAAGGATGTAAGAGGTACTATATCAGCACAAAAGAATCTCTGTCCTCAGTAATTCCCCTTTGCAACTTCCTGAAGGAGAAAATTGAATGCAACTGACTTGCTCAAGATCACCAATAAAGACAAGAAAAACCTTGAGGACAAGCAAATAGCTTTGTGTGCTTTCCTTGACATTGAGGCCATATTTGATATTACCCCTATTGACACTATAGTATAGAGTCTCTCTCGAAAAGTGGTTGATAGAACATTCATCCATTTGATGAAGTCAATGCTCTCAAACCAAATAATAAAAAGAGGATACACACAGGGAGGTGTTTTGTTGCATTTACTGTAACTCAACAAAGTAGATCAACTCTTAAAACAAATAACTGCTGTATATCACAATCTTTTGAATAGAACCTATGGCCATAATAAGTTATGTAGAACTAAATCTAAGTTTTAACTACACTAATAATATACATATTTGCTTAGTCAAGCAGCGTTACTTGCACTTGACTCATAAAATAAAATCAAAACTTATAAACAACTGCATAATGTTTTTAAATGACTTAGGCAGCAGAAATAACATTATCTTGAGATTGATCCCTGGTCACTCAGATATTCATGGAGATAAAACAGATGATTAATTAGTGAAGGAAGGAGCAATAATCCAAATTGAACCAGAGCCTTTTTGTGGCATGCCTCTAAGCCTAAACCTCAGACAACTCAAATGTGAAAGCTTAAATGACTATGAATAATAACTAGCTGTTATTGCCAGGATTAAATCACTGGAAAGCCCTGATCAAGTTTTCAGAAAACTTAAAAAATAATAATTCTGTTGACTAAAAATTATATGTATTAATTAACAATGGCTCTCACTGGATACTGCAAACTAAATAAGCACATAGTCCAACTAGGTTTATGTTTATAAAGTTTACAGACTTGTTAACAACATGGCAGAAATGCTGCAGCACATAATGTGTGACTATAGTCCACTCCCACATAAATGATAAAAAATACTAAAGTCAGGGTGACTTTATGAATTACTGGTTATCATCATCATCATATTTTTTGCTGAACATAAGCCTCTCCCTTGGAGGGTTTTGACAGTAGTGGCCACGCATGGCATGCAGATTGGCAACCACAGTCAGGCTTTAGAGATGTCTTAAGAGGAATGCTGCTGCCCATCTCTCGCTCTCCCTTGGTCACCTATTACGACACCCATGTGAAAGGAAAGGGTGGTCTATTCTATGCTGGAGCCACATGACCACAAAATTATTGGTTATTAAAGAATTATTGATTTTTTTTTTCAAATAATCCTTAACATAATTTATCCTAGTAATACATTTATATATTTTTGAATACAGTAATTCTTAAAATCTATTTATTTTGAATGTTGCCAGTGGACCAGCAGATACTATATATAATCCTTAGGTATATTATCTACATTACTTAGGTAAAATATGTAATGAACAATAATGTTTCTAATATTTCGGTATTTCAGATTTTCGGTAATATTATAAAATGATATAATTTATAATATGATTAATGTAATTAATGATAAATCAATAATTCCACAGGCCAAGAAGATTATGACAGGCTGAGACCTTTGAGTTATCCTCAAACTGATGTTTTCCTTGTGTGCTTCAGTGTGGTGAGCCCTAGTTCATTTGAAAATGTTAAAGAAAAGGTATTTATATTTATTATTTAATGTTATTATTAAGCTTAATTTACTTTATTAGTATTCTCAGTCATATTGTATGTACCTTAAATCTCTTAAGGATTGATACTTATAGACATAATTATTTAAACTTACGTTACTAATGTACAAGTTTTGCATGTGTGTTTATGTTACATACTCTTTTTCTATTTTTTTTTTTTTTTTGATTTGTATGAAATTTGGACACTTGTAGATCATACATCAAGTAAAAATATTTTTAAAAGAAGACTTTTTAATTATTTGTTGAGTCAACAAAACCAGCTCTAGTTACAGGTTACTCAATAGTTATTATATCTCATAATGCTTATCATTGTTTTAATTTATGTATATGTATATATATATGTATATATTTCATATGTATTAGTTTATCCATATATATTAAAACTAATGTTTATGTATTATATGTGCATTTCTTATGTGTATATTATATTTATATTGTGTATTGCCTTAAAGTGTTACTATAATTGTCACATATTTTTCACCACATCTGCCCTTCATACGCTTTCTGTTTTTACCTAATGGTTAGCTGGTAGAGAATGCCATATGGCATTAAGCTCGCCATTTGTACAAAATTTTATTGTGCAATAAAGAATAAATAAATAAATAAAATACATAAAACATAGAATACATGAGTAAGGAAGCGAAAAACAGTATATAAATAGGAATATTTGATAGAAGTAACACTCAATTTTATAGTATTGTAGTTAGCTATATAATAAGTTAGCAGTCTGGCTCAGGTTTGCACAAGTAGATAGAATTTTCGAAAATCATTACTAATATTATAAATATTAAAGTGAGTTTCCTTATTACCTTATAGCGTCTTAACGCCAATCCCTATGAAATTTGAGTACTTTTTATCCCAGAACTTGAAACAGCTAGTTTCAACTTCTGCGAGCAGGATTTCTAGAATAATGTTTTGCTTTGTAAAGTCTGTTTTCATTATAGTGTTAAAAACACCAAACACCAATAGTACTCAGTCTTCTGAATATATTTTCCAGTGTCTTTAATTTGTGGTTTGTATATATAACTTAAATCTATATATACAACTTAAATATTCTTACTAATCTCAGTTATTTCTTTTCTAATAGTTTTGTCTTATTAGTAATTGAGCTCTAGTTGCAATCATATCTTTTGTTTTAGCTGTTAGCCATTTTATTTTAAGCTATTTATTATTTTCCCAATTCTCTTTTTTTTTTTGCTTAGGATTTCTTATAGTTTATATATTATTATATTTTTATTTATGTTTATTTTTATATTTGTTTTAAGTATTTAATTGCTTTGGTCTTCTTTATGAAATTGTATAACCTTTTTCATCTAAATTCATTAATAGTAATTGATTTGATTGTTTATTCTTAAATAAAGGGTCTGTTTTCGTTAGACGTTTTTAGTTTTTCTTTTAATAGTATTCACAGAAGGTTTCACCCTTTTTTTTATTTTTTTAATTAGTATTACAATATGCCCTCATATACTAATGCAATCAATATAATCTCTTAGTTCTTTATTTATCACAAATACTTCATGTGAGGTTGTTTTCTCCTTTATAATAAAATACAAGCTCTTTGTGATCCTCTATACCTTCACCAAAGCGTCTAACGTCACTCATTCTGTTATTGTCCAGTTCATTTTTCTAAAGTATATGTCAATTCCATTAATCTTTCACTAGTATGCACTGAATGTTGTTTATTTAAATGTATGTTAACATTGTCTTTTGGTGGTTTTCTTTACAGTGTGATCATGTTTTAGACAGATTAATTGAAGAGTATTATAGGTAATCGTCTTCCCTTACAATGACTAGCCAGCTTGGGCTCAAATGTTTGTTTAATACATCTAAATTGTGCATTTTTATATGTTGTAGTTCCTTTTGTTGTAGATTACCATGTCGGTTACAAGTCTGAAATATCTGACACTGGAGCTGATCCTTCTCTCACAACTTAATTACTGTAGTAAAAGCTGTGCTTAATTCTGTATGATGCTGAGTAATATATTTAGTGATAGTTATTATATATTTAGATATAGGTTTGCTGTGCTCATACAAACTAGAATAAAAAAATCTTATATAAGTCATATATATATAACATTTTTTTTATTATTTATATTTTAATGTATAATTATTAATTATTCAATTACAGTGGGTGCCCGAAATAACTCACCATCAACAAAAGACACCATTCCTTTTAGTGGGAACACAGATAGATTTGCGAGATGATCCAGCAACGATGGAGAAATTAGCTAAGATAAAACAAAAACCGGTATCCTTAGAACAAGGGGAGAAGCTTGCAAAAGAACTGAAAGCTGTGAAATATGTTGAGTGCTCAGCTCTTACACAGGTAAGCAATAGCAAAACTACACAATTTTTTTTTATAATAATTTTTATAATTTATATCTAAATTATAAAAAATATTGTTATTCATCATCATATCAGTCATTAACTGCTGTAAATAGGCCATCCCCTATGGGGTAAGTTTTATCAGTAGTTGCCACGTTTGGCAGGTGGTTTCGTAACCACAGTTAGGCTTGGCTTATGTTTTAAGAGAGACACTACTAGCCCATCCTTCTACCATTAAGTTCCCTTAGTCTCCTCTTATGACACCCGCGCGAAATGAAGGGGTGACCCATTCTATGCCAGGGCCACGTGGCATAGAATACCACATGTATACCACCATATTTTGCATTAATATTTTTTAATGTTTAGCCAATAATAATATTGAATTATATCATTGAAGTAGGTTACATAAAAGTAATGTAGCAAATACAATTATTAGTAGATATTTAACTATTGTATATGCTGTATTATTGATATTTTTCTTTATTGTAAATTTTTACGATCAATATAAAATTTCATGTATACCATTTTATCATTACAGAAAGGACTGAAAAACGTATTTGACGAGGCAATATTGGCAGCGTTGGAACCTCCAGAACCTGTCAAGAAAAGGAAATGTGTACTGTTGTAGATGTAGCGAGCTATGCGCCATAAGCGACGCGCCTCACTCGCACAGCACTTGTATGGATCATACAGGTCTTGTGTAACTAACATCTGTAATATTGAACTTATTTTTATAAAACTTATAATTACTGGTTATATCGATTATTATGCCATAATAAAAATAATGAATATTACAGCTATCTAGGGAAGTGACTCTTACGCTACAATGTATCTATGCAGGCCTTTGCAGGTTTTCCCATGATTTTTAAAATGATAACTAGCAGCGACTGTATAATGTATTCATATATTTGATATAATTTAATTATTATTTAATTATTAAGTCATTATTCGTACCTACCATTGAATGTATTTAATGAATCCCTTAATTAAATGGAACTGAAATAATATTTTAATCGTTGTTTATTGTAATATGGAATTGCCTATGCAATATTTGCTGGAATCAATGAAGCAACGTTATGCACAATATTTACTATGCACAGTGCGATTACCCTTTTTTATTATTTGTACTTTGTAATTTCAAAACAGTTATTAATAATTAATGTATTTTAATAATTACGCCTGTCTGATCGACAGCCGTCCAATTATGTGTGTTTGTTATAGTTTCCATGTATTTTATTTTATTTAACAAAACGTAATCATTTCTGTAACAAATAAAGTGTAAGGAGTAAATAGTCTGTTATTGGCGACATCACCAGTATTAATGACATAATAGGCACAAATTTTTCATTTTTTGCGATTTTTGAGATTATTGTTGCCCAAATACTGTATGATACAATTTAACATGCGATATTTTACCGTTCATAATTGGAACTTGCCCGGTAATGTAATTAGTTTGAAGAACAATAAATCTTTAATGAATCGTTTTATAATTTTACGAGCCCTAGCATTAGTCTGGAGGAGTCGCCGACAACGAACGGTATAAATTAATAGAATAGATTAAAAATAAAACTTTTTTATCGAACACCAATCTCCAATATAGATATTTTTCTAAAATACAAAAGGAAATTTATAATAAATGCCACGATTCCAGAAAACCTAGAGATGTCACATGATTTTCATACAGTATTTATTCAATATGACTTTCAATTATTTTCTATAATATGTACTGGGTGAAATTAAAGTTATTAGTGTGGGATTATTCTAAAAGTGGACATTTTTCTTAGTGAAATAATTTTAAAAATAAATAGTGTTTATACTAACCCTGGTCATGCCGTGTTTATATGGGAGGCTTGCAGGTTATTAGTTTTATTTACACATTTTTTACTGGTAAAAAAGATTTCACCCAGTATATAATTGTCATAATACTGTATTTTATCGAATATGTGAATTTTGACTGAATCATTAATGTTCATTCCATGCGACGTCTTTGCATTTTGTGAATTTTAATCATTGACAATGAAAAGAAGGTTAAGTAAAGGTCGTGCAATGCGAAGCCGCCTTCGGCCATTCGTGAAGCATTGTTTTTATACTTTACTAAAGAAGCATTTGTTACACTGATATCATATACGGTTCCAACAATGGTTGTATGTTAGCAGTGTTTAATAATGTGTTTGCATGTCTCAGATATATATATAATTTAATTGGTGGTTTACTTTCCTTCTGTTATCAAATATAGAATCAATTTCATTATTTTATTTTAGCCAACATCTATTTTCTCTCTATGTATGTAATCAAAGGCGAACCCGGAGAGACGTCATCATTTATGAATGTCATGAAATTATAGATCATTTATTGAATGTATATTTTTAGTGTGCATACATTGCATGAGTTTGTACACGATCGTGAATTGTAAGTCGTGCCCCAGTCATCTCTCGGTACGCCTTAGGATGCAATATAAAAAAGAGAGATGAGTTATTAAAATTCGTCATTATATTTAACAATTGTAATTTATTAATGATTTAACAAGTGTATTCGAATTGAATACTAACAATGTTAGACATTCGATCAAGATTTATACGAATTGAATATGATAATTTTAATAATGTAATTAAAACTTATTGAGTTAATATTTTTATAATCTGAAATTATTTTCTTAATGTTTGTCTTGAAATATTATTGGATTTACTATAATTCTTTTGTGTCAGTAAGTAGATATAGGTGTATATTGCATTGAAACAATAAATATAAGAATAAATTAATGTGGTATTTTATTTGTCAATACTAAACATTTAAAAAATCTATATTGATAGGGTTTAAGTGCACTAATAAAGTTAGATTTGTGTACATTATAATCAACGAAACGTCCTTTTATGCCTTTTTCATAGAAAGTATATATTAGACGAATAATGGCTAAGATGATGATAATATTTAGTTAAGACTACTCGTTAGAATTATTGATATTGATGACTTAAAAGAAAAAAAGAACTGTGCTTGGAATTTCACAGATTTATTTATTTTTATGAAAAAAAGTCTAGGTATATTTTTCGTAAAAAAAAAAGAAAGACATGGTTAGCAAAATAAACTGACTGTAAACTGCCAATTATCGTCAATCGTAGAGGAACATAGTATAACGTACTTACTAAAAGAAATTTAGACGAACTAAAATTGTACAAAAAGTGAGTTGTTAAATTATTCCTAATTTTATGTTTGGGCCGACACGAGTACGAGTAACTACGTAAATAATATTTTACATTATCTATCTTCGCAATTTATTGCTATTTGTTGTAACAGCCAACTTTGAGATGATTTGCTATTTGATACAAATATTGAAGTAGGAATTGGAACATAAATATTGGCCAAACTGTTTTTGGATGCATTTAATTACGTGTCTATGTTAAGTAGAAATTTAACCTTATTTGTTTACGAATGAAAAAATATTTTTCATAGCTTATAGATTATGTAGGTGAAAACCGATGCTATCTTGTTCCGATAGGTATAATTTTGACAATTTTGACGTAATGATTTTCTAGTGACTTTACTATTTATATTTATTAATCAGTGTTAGATTTAATTTAAAATTAACACGATCTCTCTGAATTCGTGTGATATGCAAATTCCAAGTTAAAATGGGCGACGGCTTAAAGTTAACAAAAGGTACTACTAACTGTCACATTAATGATTGAATTAAATTATGCGTAAATAGTTCTTGTAAATGTACTCAGTCTATTGCATGAACTTATCTAAATAGGAGATAAAATTAAAGATAAGTATTATCATATGATATTAGGTAAGTTGCTACTGTACTTATTTCCTGAGAAATCTACAAACGTCAAAATGGCGGAATCAGGTGCATTGATAACCTGTTGAAAACTAATACCCAAAAAATATCTAAATTGAAGTATTAATATAGCAACTGATCTTTATTCTTTATTGTACACAAACATATTGTTAAGAACAATTAATTTTAAACATAATGTACAAAGACGAGCTTATCACTAATAAGAGATCTATATATTGTAAATATCTAAACCTGAAGCTATTCAATTTAGATAAGTTCTTTTCTTAATTTTTTTTAACATAGAATTGAATCCAAAGCCTGAAGTAAAGTATCGTGTATATAATATACATAAAGTATTTTCTTTTAATATATTTTTTAAATTGTTGATAAGCGGGTTTGCTCAACAGTTAATATGTGAGATTTACAATATTTCATACAATCGAGTGTCATGAATATTGTATTTTTTTAAACTTTATTGATTAGTAAAACAATACTAAAGGTGGGTTTAATACTAGTGGCATATACTACCAGCCAAACTTTGGGAAGTACTCTTACAAGGGCACAAATATTAACTCATACAAGGATAGTATTGTATAAGTATATTAACAATTTATTGATAAATTGTTAATATACTAATATGTAAGTTTTATACGCCTATTTATTTGAAATAGCAAATTTTCATTCTTATTTTATCTCTCTCTTATTTTATCCCTGCCCTTGCCTTCTGTCAATGTGTTATTATTTTCAGTAGGAGTAATTTTTACCAAAGAGTCGTATATCATTTTTTATTATATAATTAACCATAAATCCCTTATTCCTTTTATTTACCAATTTCCTTTTCATATTTCCAACGTTCCCTTCCTTTTTTCTTCAATCCTTTCCTCCATACCGTAGGTGGCGGAATTTGTTGGTACAAATGTACTCCCAAAGAGGGTTGACATCAGGCAGACGGCCGGTCGTAAAACTATAAGCCAATTCTTTTTGTAATATGGATAAAAATATTACGCCGACCACAAAGAATAATTGAGATAAGGATAGGAAAATGATGATAATTAACCATATAAGGTTACATTTTTTTTTATACAACTTAGAATGGCAAACAAGCTGACGGCCCACCTGATGGAAAGTGGTAACCGTTGCCTATAGATATGAGCAGTACCATGGACAAAATAGAGTATACTGTTTCGCCCATGATACCCCCCTTGCGGTGCCATTCCTGAGGACTCAGGTGTTATTCCTCTGTACCCAGTAAATTCACGCCATATCCTACCCTTCAAATCGAAACACAACCATGCAAACACAACTGCTTCACGGTTGAAACACGAATGGGACAGAGGTACCCAAGCAATCGACTTTTGTACAGTCTCCCTCTGGTTCTATTCACATATATATATTCTAAGTACAGTATTATAATGGTTTTAATATCATAGACTAGCATGATTTATGCTATTACAGATAAGCGTCACAGGAGCTCTAGCAGTCTCGCTGGAGTTATATTGGAAGGAACGCAGTCTGAAAGAAAACTGGATATAAGGGGTGATATTATTTTCTACTAATTTTATCCGCGACTTTGTCTTCTTGACCGGAATATGTTAACTGACCGGGACAAAAAGTATCCTTCTCCATCCTATAAGTGCATGTATACCAAATTTCATAGTGATTAGTTAAGCCGTGAAGACGTTATAAGCTAACAAGCAAACACTCACATTTATAATATTAGTAAGGATTTTCTTTAGATACATCATATTTAGTTATATACCATAACTAGCAAGAACTCACCATACGTGCGACCACGTACAATGTTTTCATTGTCCTATGTACTACCCCCCCTTATTCATAAAAATGTCCAACCTCTCATAAACCTATTTTAGTTACTCGTTTGTCTTTTTCTTTTATGCTAAATTATCAGTTTGAATGAAAGTGACAAAACAGTGTAATAGTTAAAATAGGTTTATAGGACATTTTAGTATTTATGAATAAAGAGATAAATTTATGGTATAAAGTACTGTTTTTATATTAAAAAAAGATCAGTCACTAGTTAAGTGCTTAATATAATTAAGTATAGTCAGTAATAACTACTTGGAGAAATATGTAAAGATAATTTTGACAATCTATCTTATAAAAGTATACAAGAAGAAAGTGATTCCAACATATTTCGTATGGTCTGTCTCATATAAATTCAAATGCTTTTAAATATAACAATATGAAACTAAAAATTAAAGAAAATACGCATTACTTACCAAGAGTTTTAAAATTCAAAGACATGAAAAAGGAAGGAAAATACCAGTAGCTTTCCTTTAATGATATTATTTTCTAGATTACAAGTACAAAAGTCTGCATGGATATTTCTCTTCCACTCGTGTTTCCGCCATAAATCAGCTGTGCTTACAAGCCTGTTTTAGTGGTGTGATTGTATTACAAAGAATGGAAGCATATCATAGTCTTCAATAAAAGCAGCGCTTGTACAATATCATTAGGTATCACAGTAATGTTCTGTATAGTCTATGGTGTTATTTTTCTGTAGGCCATTTACCATCAAGTCAATTGTTAGCTTGTTAGACGTTTTAATGTGTATGAAAAATGAAAAAAATTCGAGTCGAACGGTCTTTATACCATTTGTATCAAATGGCTGTTTCAAAATAAGTAATAAATGAATTCTGATTCAGAACTCTCAATCGATGATGTTGATGAATTTTTATAGTCTCAATACCTGAAGTAGACGACCAGTTTGCTGTAGCAGAAGCGCGATGCGACGATTTACAGGAAAAAATCGATATGGTCAAATCGTTAAAAAGAAAAAGAAAACTTAAAAAGCGGAGGTACCTTTTTTTTTACTACAGGGCTTATGCATTTACATAATACAATTACATAATCCTCAACATACTATTTTAACCATGAAATTAGTAAGTACAATATCCATGTAAAACACAAATTTTATACATTTAACTTTCGGGTTTTGTCTTCATCATCATATCAGCCTTTAACTTTCCACTGCTAAACATAATGCTCCTCCTTGGAGGGTTTTTCCAGTAGTTGTCATGCTTGGCAGGCGGATTGGCAACCACAGTCAGGCTTTAGAGATGTTTTAAGAGAGACGCTGCAGTCCATCCCTCGCCCTCCCTTAGTCGACTCTTATGACACCCAAGGGATAGGAATGGGTTGTCTGTTCTATGCCAGTACCATACGGCCAAATCATATAATCATCATATTAGCCATTAATTAGACCTCCATCTTGGGGGGTTTTGCTAGTAGTTGCCACGCCTGGCAGGTGGGTTGGCAACCGCAGTTAGCCTTTGATAACGTTTTAAGAGGAATGTTGCTGTTTATTCCTCGACTATTGGATTCCCTTAATCGCCTCTTATGACACCCACGAGAAAGGAAGTGATGGCCCATTCTATGCTGGGATCATACGACACGGTTAATCAAGAAATTACCATTTCGCTGGTAAAATGCTTCACCTGTGCTGGCCTCATTAGTATAAGAATAGTTTATTTTTTTATTTTTAGAATTACTGGTTTGAAATACCTTATTATTTTTTTAATCCATAAAATATACGTTCTAGCATGACGCGATTAATTGATCCACCAGCAATTGCAGAAACAGTTCCTTTCGTAACAATTCGGACACAACCTAAAAAAAGTAAGTGTATTTATATAATTTAATAAATATTTAATGGACCAAAAAGTCTGAAATAAAAATTATTATTATATTATATGACGTAAAATGATTCGAGTGTGATTTTTATAAAGGAAATCCCAGGTATCGAATCTCTGTGAATCGAATCGAAATCGAAGTGGACTGTGCACCCATATTTATAAACTCGTGTATTCTTATTCCCTTTTTGCTATTAGGTGTTGATTTTTAATATTTAAGTTGACTTCTTAAGCTATTAAATTAAAATAACGAATTTGATACATGATTCATATTTTTTTATGAGTGATAAGGGAATAATAACGGTATACATTGACAGAGTACCAGTAAAGGGTGGTAAGTGAGGATTTTTACCAGAAACTTTCTACAAAAGTTATCTGCTTGGGCACCTCTGTCCCATTTGTGTTTTTATCGTAAAGCACAAATGGGACAGCGATATGTGTTTGCATGACTGTGTTTCGGTTTGAAGGGTGAGATATGACAATGAAATTACAGGGTATAGAATATAGTAATACCTTAGTATTCGAGAATGTCAACGCAAGTGTATTGTAGGCAACACAGTATACTTTGTTATGTCCATGCTACTATTCAAGTTTATAGGCGACGGTTACCACTTTCCATCAAATGGACCATCAACTTGCTTGCCATTCTAAGTTGCATAAAAAAGGATAAAAAGGCATGTCAGTTAACCTATAATGATGAATTTACTTGGAAAAAAGCACGATAATTTTCAGAGAGGACCGCAAGAAGGTAAATCTGGTAGAGTATTTTGTTAGCAATGGGATTGCTAGTCCTCATTATTAACAATCTCTTCCAACCACATGAATAGTATTGTCAGATGCTAAGCTTAATAGATATTTCGCTTTGGAGACGAAAAATATAAGATTATTTCCCAGGGGAATCTAGCCACTTAAAAAGACGCATATCTCCCCTAAGACATGTGTTTACGATGCTTTTCTCGCATCTGGAATAGGCACCAAACAATTCTAGGGTAGGTACGGCTCATCCGACTCTCCTCTATAGATATCTAAGTCTATGGCAGTGATCTAATTTTAACGCCTGAGTTCTATGGGATACAGCTTATCATAATTAGATGCAGCGAGCAAAAAAAGACATAGTAAAGTGATCAAAGCACATATTATAGCTAGTATTACAAGTAAATGAGTTAGGGAGTAAACAAATATTAGTTTAGGACAATGGCGACAGCCTTGATGGTTACAGAGGTGTCACAGCAAGCTACCAGGCTGCGACAACTGGATATCCCACAGAACCCCACGCGAGGTTATTTGGACCCCGCCACTGTGGAGCAGCACCATATGATTGGTCAAATGCACGGCTACGACCGGACATATAGACCGCAGCAGGAACAGACTATTGTAATTATAATTATTGTAACTTTTTTATATTATCTGTCGTTGACTGTCCACTGCTGAACATAAGCCTCTCCCATAAATAAGGTGTTTACAGTAGTAGCCAAGTTGGTAATTGCAATTGCGTTTTGGTGATGTTTTAAGAGAGACGCTGCACCCCATTCCTCGACCATTTAGTTCCCTCAGTGATCTCTTTCGACACATTTATTGTAAATATATTATCACACTTATTGTAAATATATCATCTGTCATTAGTAAGAGAATCTAGTTGCTTTATGCGCAAGTAGACTACATTATTAATGCTACGTGACATTTTTTTATTGAAGAAATATATAAATAATACTATTGCGTAAGTATTTCCAATAAGATATGAGGAGAAGTGTCGCAATCTTGTAAATGTGCCTTGCTCATACGATTTATTTAAAAATTCAGATCCGAGAAACCCGCATTGCAACTCAGCAAAACATCACACACCTCGCGTCAGGGAATTATCATACCGAATTGTGTATTTAATTTTCATCCACGACATGTGTATTTTTACGTATGACTCTGAAAATGTATGCAAATTGGTAAGGTATCTCTACTGTATGATTCATGAATCTAAATTGTTACCTAATCTTACAGATAAAACAGTCCGTTATAGATCAGAAAACAGCGACGAAGCCACATGTGCGTCGTGCCCGCGCCGATGGCGATTGTACGTAACTTTTATTTTTACCAAACTCACTTTATTTTTAATAAATGAAAATAAAATGGGACATCTGTCTATAATAATGGTATATACTGTGGCAGGGCACTAATGAAGGATGTAGTCTTGATTAATTCACTAATATGAATAATTTTGAGAGTTTCTAGAAGAGAATATATTTTCCATTGATAGCAGCCTATAGGGACTAATCTCATTACTTATAAGTACTTTTCCTCTAATCGTGCTAGAGAATCCAAAATCTGCTTTGCAAGTACAAAAAGAAACAGAATGTCCTTCGTATACTTAAGCCATGAAGTGTAATGTTATAATTACAAGGTACGAACGCGTAAAACAGAGTGTCCTTGGAAATGGCAACCATGTGGGTATCTCGTCAGTGCTTTAATGTAATCTGTGGTGCCTGTTTACAGTTATTAAAAAATACATAATACGGGTTTTAAGGTTAGTTATAAACCAATGTGGAAAATTCATTTTTATCTTAAATATATTTACTTACTTAGGAGCAGTCCTGCCGTTCCTTATGGGGAAGGCCTATGTCAAGCAGTGGACAGATAATGACCAAAATGATGATGATAATGATATCTACTTACAGATTGGTCCAAGTTAATTGTATCAAAATCTGTTTAGTAGTTTAGTTTTTAAATAAAATAAAAAGGCATTTTATTGAAGTCGGTTTTTTGTGGACCACAATCTTAATGCAATTTAGATACGAACGTGTTGAAAGACACTTGCGGTCAGAGAGTGCAGTACCGGTACAATGCGCCCCTAGAAGTGGCCTGTGGGGACGACGAGCTCGCCGATTACTCCGATAACGACATCATTGAAGAACATAACGATGCACTGTGAGTAGTCAGTAGTGACACATAGTTAAACCATTTCTGTTTATTTCTGTTGATTTATCTATGGTAATCGACAAAGAATCTATACCTCATTACTCCGTGATTTATAAACTAATTTGGAAAATTCTTTTTTTTGTCTGAAAGGATATATACTTTTAGGTTGGTTTCATAGTTTTCAGGTCAGTATTTTAGTTTTTATATCAATACTAGCTGACCCCGTAAACGTTGTTTTACCACTTATTGCGAAATATAAAAATCGCTATTAAAAAACAGAGGCTGATCGTAAAAGGGTAAAAATTTGAAGCTGTATGTATTTTTCAATGCTTAGTTATAATAGAATAAAAGTGGAAAAATTTGTCAAAAAAATAAAAAAAAATGTTTTGGGAAGGGTCATCCTTATCATTGAGGGGTATCAAAAATAGATGTTGGCCGATTCTCAGACCTACCCAATATGCACACAAAATTTCATAAAAATCGGTAAAGCCGTTTCGGAGGAGTTTGGTAACAAACACCGTGACACGAGAATTTTATATATAAGATTACTAATTTGCCACAATTAAAGTGTTTTTTTTTAAACAAAATATTAAATTATTTTTATAATAGAGGGGCAAACAAGCCTGACCACCTATCGGATGGAAAATAATAACCGTGGCCTATGGACATGAATATTTTGTGACAATCGAGAAGTTTCCAAAATATTTCATTTTGATAATTATGAAAATTTAATCAGAATTAAACAAAAATCTGAAAAGATTATTAAAATATCTCTATACATGTAAAAGTTATAGGTTTCAGTTGCGCTTGCAAAAATATATTGGTTCTATACGGCGGTCAACGTATAACGTCACTTCATCTATTCCACGCGTCTTGTATTTGTGTGCAGTGACTTTTGCCGCTCATGTATTATTATCATATTTTGTGTTAATATAATGAGAAACAAGTGAAGGAGTTTTGGAAATTCCATACCTAAAGGGGTAAAATAAGGTATGTACGAATATCTGGAAACCAGTCATTTTCAATGTCATAAGTATGAGATTTCAAATGAAAGTTTCTAGTTAGAAATAAAAAAAAATACATTTTTTAGTGTTTTTTTTTTTTATCTGTCCACTAATAGAGTGAAGTAGGAGTTGAAAATCTATATAAGAAAGCTTATAGTTCATTATTATTAAAATACAATAAAAATGTTTAATTTTTAATGTTTAATAATAAAGTTTCTTTGCATAAATAAGTATACATATTTCGTCGTTTTTGGAAATCCAGCCTCGAATAGGAGGAATGGAGTGGAAACATTAGTGTAAAAGAGAGATTGAAAGAGCCCATCATTTTTGTAGAATGAAATTTAATAATAAAGTTTGTTCAAAAAGAAATACATAAAACCAGTACGTAGCATATATATAATATTTTATTTAAATTAATAGGTAATCACTTTATTTATTGCTTTTAAGTAATATTTTTTTGTTCTTGTTTGTTTTTTTTTAAGTTAGTTATTTTTTTAAGTTTGTTTAATTTTCTCTTTTTAGTGTAAGTAATGTGTAGGCAATGACTATAAAACCACTTACATATTATACAATCAAAATGCCACTTGTTCTTCACGACTTGGAGCCAAATAAATTATTTAAGAAACTTTTTTTTTTTATTTTTGTTTTAGAGAGTTAGCGTTATTTAGCATTAATTGACATATTAGTTTTAAAAAAAATCATAATTATACATTACTTAGTACAAATAATGAAATGCTAAATACAAAATTTCTCAACATCATCCCCTACATTTTTGTATAAAAAAATGAATTTCTTGTATCTCTGTACTTTACTATACTAGTAAAAATTGCAAAAAAAACCCAAACTATACTTTTCTGTTTCATGGTTCTTACTTTGAAAAAATCACATACATTTTCACTACCATTTATTCTTTACTTACACTTATGCGCGGACGAAGTTGTGGGCAATAGCATGTAAATATATTTTGTAAATGTATGTAAATATAGTAATTATAATTTACAAATGGAATTTATTACGAGTCAGAAATTTGACGTACTTATTAATTTGAAATGGTAATCGGTAGATCACCATTTCTACGGTCAAAGAAAGAGATGAATTATCATTTTATAAAGCCTATCATTAATATCATTTTATAAGTTATAAAACAAACAGCTTCTTTCAAAATAATGGCATGAAACGCGAACTTCACAATTAACTAGTAAGTGCATTGCAGCGTGACTATATCGAGTAGGTGGAGTGACGTCAGCAGCGCACCAGCGGTTACTCGTTCCGCGCTAAAGTATGTAAATTTCAACAATCAACAAATTTAATCTAATTTAATTTTGATCTATATTTAAATTGTATTAAGCTACATATGGCATTTTCAAATGGAAACTTCTCCATTGGTTGAGTTGTTAAAACGCTGAGAAGTAACAAACAGCAAAATGAAACAAATTCACATTTATAATATTAATAAAAAATATGAACGAATACTACGTACGTCTATGTGTCCTTTACATTATTAAAGTAATAAGACTTAAGAACATGTTAACGCTTTTAACAGTTCGGCAATGAATAAGAGACTGATGGTACCTCAGCAACGTTATCAAGTGAAATCTTCATCCGTCTGTCATCGAAGACACGTACCTCGTGAACAAAAAGAAGGTTTTCATATATTAAACATTATGAATATTCAAATCTGTCCAACCGATCCCTAGTGATTGGCTTACCTTAAACAAATAAAATTTATAGCTACTTATTAAAACTATTACATTATTTATAATATTACTGTACTAAAAATTACATTATACATAATATAAATGTTGAAGTATAATTATAGGTTAGTGCAAAAGGTACAGAGGGTTATTTACACCTACTGTTACCACTTGGTTTTCTCTGTCTACCCTATAAAAGAACTAACGTGAAGATAAACAATAACAAATCTGTTTATTGTCATTTACAGTATAGCACAATTATTATAAGGTCACTGAAACATGCTATAATTACATTACAACATATATAATGTAATACATACAATTATACATACATATCATCGTCATATCAGCTATTAACTGCCCTGAGCTGAACATAAGCCATCCCAATAAGGGAGGTACATATACACATATCAATTACAACGAAATATTAATTTTATTTTCTATTGTACATGTTGTTGGGTCTTATTCTGATATGGAACTTTAAAGCAGGTACAAAGTGGTCAAATGAAAACGCCGAAGACTCTCGAGAAACATGGCGGGCCTCCTCTTCACCTGTTTACCGCCGTCGACAGAATAAGAACAGAACGCTACAAAACAATGGTATTCAACTATTACTACTTAAGGGGGAAAAGGATTGTTAGCAATGGAGTTTGACAACCCCATTGCTAGCAATATATCGTATTAGGTCGATCTTCACGTGGTTCCCCCTGGAAACCATCGTGAACAATTCTTGTTGAATTCGTCACGATGAGCTAACTGACCTACTTCATGCTCACCTATCATTCTCCACTGATGCCCCGCCGGTGTATACCGATAGCGCGGGTGGGGCTACCATTCCATTATCTTACATTTAAAAAAAGGACTACTACTTCACTAAAGGGTATAAAAGTCGTAAGCACGGATACCAATGTCCCACCCTTATTTCAGTTGTGAAATAGCTGTTCTTGCTTGGCCTTGGTTTATACGGTATAATAGTGAAATTACGAGATATAAAAGTTTTACATTTTAATTACGATATCTATATATTCATCCAATAATGAATATATTAAATATCGGTTATCCAATATAAAACATTGAAATTTTTACCAGAGAGAGACTTAGTATAAAAATCGTTTGCTTGGACACCTCTGTCCCATTCGTGTTTCAACCGTGAAGCAATTGTGTTTGCAAGGCTGTTTCGATTTGAAGAGTGGAATATGGCAGTGAATTTACAGGGTACAGTGGAATAACACCTGAGTCCTCAGGAATGGCATCGCATGGGGGGGTATCATGGGCGAAACAGTATACACTGTTATGTCCATGGTACTGCTCATGTCTATAGGCGACGGTTACCACTTTTCATCAGGTGGGCAGTCAGCTTGTTTGCCATTCTAAGTTGTATAAAAAAAATGAAGAATATAGATGTTCGACCATAATGGGCGACTCCGAATTGGCTGATGGCTTTTATTCTATCATGAAACCGCAAAGGAAGTCAATATACAGATATTAAAGCTATTTCGATATTACCAATGCCTACTGTCCATCAGATAGGCCACCAACTTGTTTACTATTGTATCATATAAAATATACAACACATAGCTTGTTCGTGTGATGGCGGAGTTTTCACATACTAGTTGTTTTTTAGTCTAGGGTAATAAATGATAAATAAAATACATTACAATACAAAATAAGAAGTGTCGAAATAGTGCTTAGTGTGAGTTGTACAAAGATCAACGTTGCAACAAACATGTACATGACTGCAAAGTCACGTTTATGTCGATAAGGTTATATGGAATTATGAATTCTCGAAATTATATAACAAAATTTCATTACGAAATATTAATTAATGACATAAAAGTAAATAGTTATGCAATTCACACTAGATACTAGGTATATTTTGTAATTCAAAATGTTTGAGAAAAATGTTTACAAATCGAATGTTATAAGCAGTTGAAAAATTCTACTGAATACTTCATATTTTATCGTCGTAAGCATTTTTAATTAGCTAAGTAATTTAGTTATTTAGTTATTTGACGATATAGTTTTATTTGTCAGTATCTTAATTTCAAGTAAGCCCCTATTTATACGCTCGTTTTGTAAAATTTCTTTTCGATTTATTTAACTAAATTAAAAATCTTTAACTAATAGTTAATTTTAAACTTTCGCGTTATTTGCACATATTTTTAATACACTATCGAGACATAAAACTTTAACTAAGTTTTAGACTTTAACTTAGTGAAGTTAATTATATCACATTTGATATGCTATTTTATATTTAAGATATTATCGTATTATTTATTGGCTATATTTCATGATATTGCCATCATATTTTGAATAGAATGAGTTTTAAATTACACCATATGTCCACAAGAAATAAATAATAGACATTTTACAGCGCCTGCGCCGGTACCAGAGGAAAGGCCGGTGGTAGAATTATTCAGTAAAGCCGGCTACCGAAGTAGCCCATCCCCAGATGCTCATTTACAATACGCACCTACTGACAAGAAAAACAAACGAAGTAGGTATTTTTCTTAGATGATATAGATAGAACATCTCCATACAAATGCTTCGAGAAAAGCGGGTCATCTTTTTCGTACAATTTTGCGTAATAAATAGTTAACGAGTGATTCTTTAATAAATTCTATATTTATTTTGTCTTTTAATTCTGCACCTTTTTAATGCGCAGAAACTTATTTTATTTATTAAATAATTAAATATATGTAGATACGTCAAGATTCATTGTGTGCGTAAGTATTGTAATAAAAAACTTTAATAACAAAAACATGTCAGCTAATTTGAAAATTAGCTGAGAAAAAGTTGACCCGTTTTTGAGGCTTGATCTATATAATCTATGTTATTTATAGTAGACTAGTTGATACAACAGACGGTGTATGTTTAAATTTTCTTTCTCTAACAAGCAATATTAATATTTAAAAAAATGCTAAATCGGTCTGCCGTTCTCAAGTGACACGCCGTTTACAATACCATATTTTTTTTAGTAAATTTTAGTCTTTCTTACAAGTTATATTGGAAAAATACTGATTGTATATTCATAAAAAATTATAAATTCTGTACAAATAATGATTGTAGGACAACCCTTCACTAGATGGAGTGACGACCTGAAATGCATTGCAAGGAGTCAATGGATGCAGGTGACTCAGGATCGTCCTTTATGGCGGTCTATGGGGGAAGCTTATGTCCAGCAGTGGACAGATTATGGCTGAAATGATGATGATGATTGAATTTACTGATTTGTTGCAGCTCGAGAACCTCAGCCGTATGAAGATCAAACCACTGGCCCTTTAGAAAATGTAATGTCAATAGCGACAAAGAAGGTATTTTTCTGAATTAAAAATAACTTGTTTGTATAGGTACCTAAACAATATTTTTTATTATATTTTAGATGTCATGTTGAATGGCAGTTCTTGTTTGTCTATACTTGCTGAGACACTAAGCAGTGTTAACAACATCTGGCAAATCATTGATCATAATTAGTAACCGCAATTGGCCCAGGGTACTACTCTAGCTTAGTTCGGAGCCGGTAACATAGGATTCAAATCGATAAACATATAATTGGGCGTATTGCGAGCGATCAAAAAAATAGCTAATAAATAATTTTAAGTTTTGGTGTAATTCCTTACTTTTATACTTTTTTAACAAATGCTTTTTTGAAATAAAAATATGTCACGTCTACTTGTCTATACATAGTACCGATTCAGTATAGAAAACAGCATATAATATTTAAGATCATTTTCCAGAGGTCTGGCACCTTAATAATTAAAGATTGTGTCTCATAAAAAAAGACTTCTTTAATAGTGACAAAATCAGTTATTAACGAAAACTAATTATTAACAGTTTTTAGGTTTTTAGATCAAAATAGATCTAAACTAAACTACTGAACCGATTTTAATAAAATTTGTTTGAAGCCAATCTGTAAGTATATCTATACTTTCAGAAAAAAAAATATTTTTAAAAAATTAGTTCTGATCTAACGGAGTTATGAGATAACAAATATAAAAAAATACGACCGAATTAAGAAGCTTCTTCATTTTGAAGCTGTTTGAAAAATGTACATATGGACTCTTGGAGTACATATGCGACACAACTAATCCGTCCCTCTAAATACGCCCATAATAGAAAAGGACAAAAGTAACCTATACTTTCTATTCCGATCAATCAATATAATTATATACCAGTCACGCGGACAAGGTCGTGGGTAAAAACTAGTATTTCAACCAGTAACTGATGCAGGCACAAGAGTACAGACACCCCAGACGGGTGAAGTACCGCAGCCGACGGTACGAGTTGCCCACCGTCGCGTCGCAAATGAAACAAGCCGGCATGAGGTACTCCTATGGAAACGCAAATCACACCAACATACCGTTCGTGGTCAGCAAGAGTACAGCACCCTCGCACAACATCGGCGTCAATATACAACAGGTATTTTATTTTAGTGTTTCCTGCATTTTAAACACTGAAATGCTGTTGTTGAATAATTAAGCTGAATTAAATAATTACATTATACTTAAATGCTTATTTTTATGACTGTATCGACCTATTCAGGAAGCACTTTCAGCAATATATGAATTTTTTTTAAATCCCTAGATGCTAATGTGAGAGAAAACGGGCTTTTTAGGAATAGCTTATTTTACTAATATAATGAAATTGTTACTAGACGGTATCCTGTAGAGGAGGAAGTCTTGTTAGTAATGGAAAAGTTAGTCCTCATTGTTATCAATATAGTCTATCAGATCGTCCTCCACGCAGTTCCCCGTGGAAATTATTGTGACTAAGTTATCGTTGAATTCGTCACGATGGGCTAACTGACCTGCCTTTTCATCCTCACCAATCTCTCACTGGTGTCCTGCCAGTGTATGCCGATAGCACGGATGGAGTTACCATCTCATTATCATTCACCATTAAATGATCCTGTACATGTAAGATATTAAAAAAGCAATATGAGGGATTATAATGAAACCAATAAGTGCCAAATAATAATTTTTAAATTTTTTTGTTTGCATGATACCGAAACAAAAATCTGTATGTTAGTTTCGGTATTACGCAAGAACTACTGCAATAAATTGGATGTGACTTTCACAGCTGTGCTCCTGAAGGTTTAACTTAAGAACTAGTACATGTCTCATCTTGATATGCTATCTAGAAGTGGTATGTTTCATTGATTTCCTTACTTCAGAAATGTACATGTGAGAAGTAGGGGGCAAAAAACTAGTAAATTACGAGTATAAATATTCTTTCCGACTAGGATTTGTATATTTTTTTAGAAAATGAAACGGGTTTTTAAGAAATTTAGAAGTATTAAGCCCCCAACCTAATATTTTTTCATGATTATTTCTTTTAACAGGTCTTAAATGGTATAAAGGTACAGCAACCATTGTCTGGTATACCCCTCACGATAGCTCACCACATGGGTAAATTTCGGCTTTTCTACTTAACGAATTTGTTGATTTTTTTATAATGTGCTATCTTTGCCCGCAGCTTTGTATTATGTTAATCTTGCATATTATCTATTCTTATCAAAATATTATTAAAATTGTTTAAACTTAATTACTGTGTGATCCCAGCATAGATAGGCCACCCATTCCTTTTCTGTGAATGTCGTAAGAAGCCCCGAAGCGAACTTACTAGTCAAGAGATAGATAGCAGCGTCCGTCTTAAAACATCACCAAAGTTTAACTGCAGTTGCCAATCTACCTGCCAAGCATGGTAACTACCGGCAAATCCCCTCTTTAAGGAGGAGTTCTATGTCCAGCAGTGGACAGTTTACGGCTGATATGGTGATGATGGTGAAAGTTAATTGATAAAAACATTCAAAAATCTTTACAAACATTCAATATAAGAAGGGCATTTTGAAATATTACATATAAAATAATTATTTTTCTATACATCTTGTGATGTGAAAGTGAGCAGGTTTATTTGTTGTATCTCTTAGTGCCTTAACGCCTTAATTAATTACTATTTAATTAGGTATACACGTAGGGACTATATAGGTTAGAAAAGGGCATAGGCTTCTATCTTCTTCTGCTTTGAAGTCAATTTGGATACCCCAGTCACACAAAGTCGCGGGTCAAAGTTATTAAAATATGTGTTTGGTTGATATTATATTTCTAATTTCAGGTTTGGGTCACATTCCTTTTTACGATTCAAAAAGTACAACAGTGGTATGCATATTTGTATTATTTTTCAAAATACTTCAAAAAGAAAGAGGTTCTCAATTCGGTTGTTTTTGTTGCCTCATAACTGCATCTATTGTAAACCGACATGGAAATTTCTTTTTTATCGAATTTTTTTTATACAACTTAGAATGGCAAACAAGCAGACGGCCCACCTGATGGAAAGTGGTAACTGTCGCCTATAGACATGAGCAGAACTATGGACATAAAAGAGTATACTGTTTCGCCCATGATACTCCCCATGCGTTGCCATTCCTGAGGACTCAGGTGTTATTCCTTATAGATACTTTTTTGTCTGAAAGGACTTACAAATTGGTCCCATAGAAATTTTATCGAAATCAGTTCAATAGTTTAATTTTTATACATAATATACTGGTTTTGCTTCAATTAGTCGGTTTTTTTTTGTGGAACACAACCTAAATTGTATTGAAACTTCTTTATGGCCATAATGTAAATGTAAATCTTATCACATATATATGTTGATATTATTTCTTTATATGGTTTTTGTTTTCTATTCAAATGATTGTCTCGTCTATACATATTATATATACATATATATTTTTGTTCTAAAGAATATTATTTTTCACTGTGACCCTCTACAAATTATGTATTACTAGCGAACCGCCCGGCTTCGCACGGGTACAATGCCAAATATACTACAGAGTGGTTTAACAATTAACCTTAATACTGACTTAGGTACGAACATACAATTTCGAACAAAATGTAGCGCTAAAAAGCACGATGCAATATAATGTATGTATTATACATATAAATCTTCTACTTGAATTACTCTATCTATTCCGCATATCTAACCGCATCAAAATTAATTGCGTAGTTTTAAAGATCTAAGCATACATAGGGACAGACAAGTGGAAGCAACTTCGTTTTATACTATGTCGTTATGATTTATAATTTTGTATATAAATTATAAATTAATATATTGGTAGTTTACTTATTCGTTCTACTTTTTATTTCACATTTAGCAACCATCACTGGACAACCATGAGATAAATGCAATCAAGGTTGGTCGGCGTATACTCCGGTTACCCTCATACAAATATATGTCATACAATCGACTGCTCACTCTGTACCGCGAGGGTGACGGTATGGTGTCGAGGTTTCTGCGCGCAATATCTCGACCGCACTACTTCTACACTTCTATGTACAAGTGAGTCTCGAGTAAAAATTTATCCACGAAATTGATCCAATGTATCGATGTAATTGAGAGGTGATTGTTGATTGATTGGTTGATTATTGTTTTTTTTTTAAAATAACAATAAACGTTATTCCACTGATTTAAATACATTTACTACTGGGTTTTAGCAAGTGTGCCTTTTTATTAAAACGTCAATTTTTCATATTTTACACCACAATTACGTATTTTTCCAACAAAATAATGCCTAAGCCAAAATAAAATTAAGGGTCTAATTTCAGCTAACGCATTATATCTTTGAGTGTTTTGTGTCAAAATTATAATGTAAAGAATATTCCTATGGCTGTCTAAGGAAGAAGCCAATAGTGCAGAATCCAGTAAGCAGGGGATTATAATATAAAACTTGAAAACACTTCTATGTTCGTTATCTCTTTTGTATATTACTATATTTGTATACTTCTACTACAAAACAAATTAGATATAATAGGAAATAAATAGGATAAAAGAAGGAGAAAAAATACGTGACATTTTTAACACGTTAATCGCCATGTCAGTTATATGTATCTGACGCTAAGAAGTTCTACATGAGCCATGTCAGATATATATGTCTGACGTACGCGATTCACGTCAATCACAGATATCCGACGCAAGTGATACATTTGCATTATGTTTCGAAATCAGGAACAAAACCTGAAAATTTCTTGGCTTACTACAAACAATAAAATGAAATAAAGTTATATAATGGTATATTGTTTCAGTCGAAAAAAGTAAAGTCATCTATGTGTGAAATAAAAAAAATAGTTTTTAAGTTGGCGATTAACGTGTTAATAAATTCTTCTCTCTCCTCTGCCTCTCTGTATTTCGAGATATAGAAAAGCTAGAGTCTAATCTTGAACTTTAAAATTGCTTTTATTATACACTTATTTCTTTAACTAATAATTGATATATTTTAATTTAGAGACATGAGTAGGTATAATTACCACATAATTCGTCTTTTACATCGTCTCGGTGTATTTAAGTTCAATAAATAAATAGTTATTCTTGTTACTTACTTTGTCATGGCCATATCTGTAAAGTTTCTTCTAATTTTGTTATAATGTTTTAAAGATTCTTAATCTAGGAATCTTTAAAACATTATAATAAATTAGATACTCAACATTCTATTTATGTTTTAAGCAGTCTAAACACTAATCGGGAGGACTTAGACGGAGCGACGTCGAAGGGTCGTGCCGGTAGTCAAGAGGCTAAACAGAGTCTCGCGGAGTACGCAACTTTGTATCGAGAATATGAACATATAGAGAAATGTATCAAAGAAGGGAACTGCGAACCGGAATTGGAGCGGCGTAAAGAGGAACTATCAAGAGAAATGGCTGCCCGCGAGGATTATATAAGAAGAGTGAGTAATTTATGTATGTTTGCGATTTATATTTGTTTCTTTTTGTTTTCTGTAAGATATTGTCATAAATTATGTATATTTTTATCTGTTGAAATTGTAAATGTTTATTTTAACTTTTAATTGAAGGTTCATATAGTAACATAAGATTCACATATAATGTAATAATCATATATGTGAAAAAATACCGTGTACATTTTATAACACGCTCTGACGCTCGTGACCGTTGCTATATCTAAGAACTAAGATGTTAAGCCTATAAACTAACATGCTGAACTACGCCGCTTTGAATAATTTAAAGAATTCTTAGTTCTCGTTGTATAGTTAATTTATAAAATAAACATTTACCTACGCTGACCCGGGTGTAGCCGTTATAAGTTTTGCCTCCAGGTATTTATTATCCGATTTCTTATAGCACACTGCATCTTATTTCTTTTACTAGTAAATTGATGTCTGTGAATATATGTATTTATTCTGAATTGTTATTCAAAGGTTGTGCAAGAATATAGATCATCTGCAGAAATTGATCAGTCGGTACTGAGAGCATCCGCTTCCACTGCCGAAGATGGCTACCGACACTCTACTTTCAAACTGAATCTTGGTGAAAGACAACAGTAACGGCAGCAAGACCTGTCGCATCGCAAAATTCAATATGGCCATTTTAAATCGAATGTTGGACGAGTGCTACGCAATAATATGCTCGTTATAAATAATTTAACAAATCGAGGTTTGATGCCCAAAATTATTGTCCACACGGTTGCCCCTGCATTACCTTCGAACGCCTCTCAAAATGTAAGCGTCGCCTTCCTTACTCTGTTAGCCTTAGCTTGGTAAGGAAATGTAGTCGTGTCTAATTTTGAACTTCTTTACAGTAGATTATTATTACTACCATGATTCATATCGTGTCCGATTCCTTGCTACAGAATATGAGACGATACGACGAATTATATACTAATGTATGTTCATCATTGCCCCGTCTGTATTTGGCCAACTTCGTAAAGTTATTCATGTTTGTCCAATACGAATGTTAATAGTAATATAAAAAGTTTAAACACATTATGTCGATATTTTATTTCTAATAATGACACGAACTGGTGATGCGAGCGATTGTTATACCTACTGAAATATCTACAAGCGTTACATTCATACAATATTTATACACCGCTACATCCGATCTGTGCCCAATCAAAACCCAAGTTAAGGTTCTAATCCTAACATAGATTAAGAATAGGTATTTCAAACACATAAAATAAAAACAACAAAAAAAAAAGAAACGTCTCTTTTGACTTTAATATATGTATAGGAACTCTGTTTTATAATAATTCGAAATAATACCATGTACTAATCCAATTGGAACGAATGGTAAACAATACGTTAATATACTTTATAAGACCCGTATCCATTAGCGAAAATTAATGTATTATTTTGATTTTTCTCTTTTAATACAGTGGTACTTGACTTGGTATTAGTAGTTTTATAGTGTCATTTTTAATATGACAGTTCGGATGTATCGTTACACATTTAATTACTTGTTAGCAGTCACAAATGTAGAATAATAAATGAAGTTTTATAGTACAGGAACAGGCAATGAGTGCATCGACATAATATTTAAATTTGTTCAACATGAATTAAACTTATACAGTTTATTTACAAAAGCTAATAACATTAACAAGAGGACTGCGTTGTATACACTAGACAGATGTAGTCTATAACTATGTTAAATAAAATCGAAAAAATACATGCAAATTACATTTATGACTAATTTTAACACAATGCTAATGCTATAATTAAATAATATTTATTACTATTACAATTATTGTTGAGTTAATTGTAAAGTGTAATATTTACAAAACTACATTGAATAATAATAATACATTATATTTCAAATAAACAATGAAACTATTTTTTTTCATTTATGAAATAATTATTTTAAATTCCCATTTAATTGCTATACAAAGTACATTTTTTTGCAATTAAGTATATTATTTATTTATAATAAATTACTTTTTAATACTGCGAATTTAAATATTGAATATAAAAACTAATCATAAAAAAATGTTATTTAACTGCTTTTGTGAGTATAATAAAACATAAATAATTTTTGAAAATTTTTATCTACTTACACGTACTGTTAGTAAACACTGGTATGACTGCCGAGTTTAATTAAGTAGAAATTAACTAACAACAATGACAATATGAAGCATTTCCACGTTAAGCAAAACTAATGAGATTTAAATCTTCGAGTTAGTTCATTTTACACTAAAATCAGTTATTTTAATTTAAAAACTAAGCTAATTTTGATACAATTTCTTTATAATTAATCAGAAAGAATATCCTTGCCCATACAAATAAATCCAAACCAGTATAAAAATAACGAAATTATGAAGTAACAAATAAAAACACAACCGAATTGAGAGCCCCCCCTCTTTTGAAATCGGTTGAAAAACTAATTTATTTTATCATTCAATACAGAATGGAAATAAGTACAAATTGAAGTGTTGAGACTGATTGTGAAATGCAGTCTCCTAAAAATAATTAATAGTCTTAAAATATTATTAATATTAAATTTATTACCTATTAGATATTAACATTATTAATGTTAAAATTAATTACTTTGGCACCTTGGATCCACATTTGGATCTAGATTGTGGAATCTAGTGAACGAGGACCCTACGGCACCTTGACATATTGCAGCTTGTAAGGATTAACTTGACTATTTAGTCTTTCATATTAGATGATGCAATTGACTGAAATAGGAATACAATTTTGGCCGAATGAAGAATTTACATACCTAATAGAAAGACATGCAATAGAATTAAGACGTTTAGAACAACCTCTGTTAACTCCATGGTCCTAAAGAAAGTTTCTGAACTTTTTACAATTTCCCATAATATGGAATAAGCCAGACGTGATTTTATAGAATAATCAAATGTATGCAGTTCTACGATGACACTTCCAATTTAACATCAAAGATAGAATTATACTGAAATCGTGGGTATACATGGAAAATTATAAAATTTTGCGCACAGTTAAATTATTTAATTGTCCTCGTAAGTCCATAATAAGTTTAGTAATTAATTTTTAATTATGTTTGGAACATGCAACAGTAATAATGTCCTTAATAACGTGTTCAATTGCGGGAGTCGGTAGAAGAAGGCAGGTTTTCACCTTCGATCTTATGTCGAGCTGCATGTATATAAGCTTCCGCAGCAAGCGCTGGCCACGCGTCCTGAGGGGTGGGTGTAGGATGTGTGGGGTGAGAAGGGTGCGCGGGTGGTGCGGCCCAGGCTTCAGTAGTGGACACTTCAGCTGGTCGCTCCGAGCCCTCGCCAGATTTGGTTGCACACTCCAACGATAGAGGCTTAGGAGTCTCGATCCTGTAAATTGATAAAATTTTAATTATTTTTACTAATCATGCAACGCTGACAGGCAAGCATGTAGTACACTAAGCAGTTACACAACAATTATATATATTACAATGCCAATTAACATGCATAGACTTAGTTCCTTTTACAACCTGAGTGTTTGTTGGAAGACACTCCGCTGGAATCGTACGAGTATATATAAACGAATTTTTATGTAATAGAATGAATAGTACTTAGATACGATGATGGGACATGGCATTTGGGCATCAATGTTACATAAGTCATAACACATAAAAGGATTTAGACTTTAAATTAGAAATATTTTATTGCCACAAAAAGTGCACGTAAGCGCACTATTTTTATTACATATACACAATAAGATCAATATTAATAAAAAATTAAACTCCTATTGTTATTTTGTATATGGGTTCTTAGAGAAAAAAATACCTCACGCGTTCTGGTGACTGCATAGCATCGTTCGTACTCGATATCTCGAGGTCCTCGGCATAGCTCAAATGCAGCTTTTCACTGTCGCTTCGTTGGTCCTTGTCTGCAATTCAGACATTAATCTTACTATAAACTTAGCATGACTTAGCATAATATACTACGATATTTTATAATCTAAACTATAAACAAGTTCGAGTTTCACGAAGAGAGTATTTTTATAATAAATATAACCAAACTTTAAGTTCTATTGAAACAGACTATCTGTATATGGTTTGCTTATTAATTTTTTTCAGTTCCAACGAATTGTAAGTATATCGATAATATATAAAGGATTTGGTTACCGTCAACATTGATGGCTGCGTCGGGCCAGCCGAGTGAGTCGCCCTCCACGTCGACCGGCTCGTCCTCGGCATCGTAGGAGCGCGACTCCCGCGGCCGCTCTTCGCGGCGCTCCTCCTCGAGGTCGTAGCCCAACATACTCTCCACCGTGTGGTGCCGTTTGCGCGTGCGCAGTTTTAGCCGTCGTTGGCGATTTGCACGGATGCGCTGATATGTCTGTTTTAATAAACATTGATACTGGATGGAAAATGTCATACATATATAAATACAATGTACATAAATTTAAGAATTATAATTTAGTTTACAACTATATTTTCATGTACTTATATATGAAGCGTTTTTTTCTAGTTTCAGTTTATGATGTATATGTGCTAAATAAGGAAATAGAAAATGTAATACTGTTTTTATTACAGTAGCTTTAAACACAGTGATTATGATAAGATTTGATAATATTCTTGTATTTCGACTGGGTATACTTGTCTAAATTAAATTTGTATAGGCAATGGGAATGAATACATAGAAATATACACTCAATATTATAAAATTTTAAGAAAATTAATACCAGAAAGTACTAACTATAAGTAAACGATATTTACGACAAACAACAGCGATACATAGTATAACGGTGAAATAAATAGTACCTATATCTTGAAGTTGTTTTATTTATTCAACAACTTTATTATTGTGAAACAGTTATAATATCCAATAAATAAATATCACATTTCTTACTTCCCACCGAGCGTCCTCGTCTTGGTGGTGCAGCGAGTGGGTAGATGGCGCCGCGGCGTCTCTCGGCAGTGCACTTAGACTGTACAGGTGTTGCAGCTCCTGTAGGAAGTGTGCCTGGGCAACGCCCGGGCCCAGTCGCGCGCCGCACACTCCACACGACGACTTACGCTCGCCGTCCGCTATGACAATATTGTTTAATAATATACATGTATAATATATTATCATCGAGGATCTAAGCAATTAATAATCGAGTTATATTGAAAGAACGAAGCGGAGCCGAATACTTCAGAAATGATTTTAAAAACTTATTAACTTGTCAATACTGTGCTACCACGGACACAGTATATTCAGTAAAAAATTTAAACGGTAAATCTGTTAATTGTAAACCGACTTGGAAAATTCTTTTTTATTTGATTGTTCCCTTAGGATTTTTATAAATACAGGTTCAGTAGTTTAGTTTTTAAATCAAAATAACAGATTTTTCCATAATTGAAGTTTTTTTTTCTTTGTAGAATAATCTTAAGTTATTGTTAAATATTTTTTTTAATCATGGAAACCTTTAAAAAAATGACGCTTGACCCGTGTTATTTAATAGATCGTATGGTGCAATGCTCCTCTAAAGAAATGAAAGGAATACGCCCCTTAAATATACAAATACTTACGCGAGAAGAAGTCGTGCGAGTCGGTGCACGGAGTGGCTGTTGGTGGCTCGTCATCTTTACAAGGACGAGGGGAGGCCGAAGCGGCGGAGCCCGGCGAACTGGTGTCGTCTCGCGCCGTGTACCCGTGCCGATACAGTGGCGGTGTGCTGCTGTCATCGCGGACGCTCTGTGCAAGTCGTAACCAACCTCCATACTATTATTATAAATGTGAAAGTGAGCCTGTCTGCTTTTAGTCTGCTTTTTTATATGACCAATATTAATCCAAGGGGTATATCGTGCAAGTAAGTTATATGAAATTTACAAGTAAGATATTATACGTCGATCTAATCTAAAGGATGCCTTACTTGTAAAAATGACCTTTGGATTAGTTGTGGATATAGTGGATAGAGAATGGTGCGATTTGGATGAAAATTGGTGCACACATTGGTGTTGACAGATATTGGTTCTATAGTAAAATATTCATTTACTTTAAATAGTTTAATCTAATTTTCTAGTAAATCTGGGTGCATGACGCCAGCGTAAATTCATTGTAACAAGTTTGGAAAACTATCGCTTCTATGTTTTTCCTATTTATATATTACAGAGATCTTGGAATGTAATGAAAATAAAGGCACATCATATTCAAGTTCAGACTGCTTTAGTAATTTAGCAGTGAAAAACATAAAGATATGTTTAATTGATAAATTACAAATTGCTGACCATTAGCTAAATAATTAAAGCAGCTGCCGTAGATATATATAGAGTAATAGTTATGTAGTTTTAGTAGAAATAGTTTATTACTATCACCCATGTACAGATAAATATTTACCCGAAGAGCTTGGCCAACGCTCTGTCCAAGTGCATATTGCTCTCCTAGATGCCTTGCAAACGCTTTTCCTGGATAAAGTGGATGAAAGGCACCCCCTATAGGTCTGAATGCCCCGCAGCCAAAGCTCTGCAGGGCAGGGTGCAGGAACTGCGGCGCCATATGATGAAGGAAACCCTCCATGATGACAGCGACACTCTGCGGATGATTAGTGGAATTAGAACGCTTTTTTGTTGGGATAAGGGTTTTCGCATTTAAAAATATATTACGTATTATGAAAATTAATAATATTCTTATTATATAAAGATTATAAAATGTATGTATTTATATATTAATCTGTAGTCGTGTGGTCCTAGCAGTGAATAGACTACCCCTTCCTTTTCTGTAGGTGTCAGGTTTATGCCTGTAATTGCTTCGCTTGGTAGGCCGATTGGCAAACGCAATTAGGATTTGGTGACGTTTTAAGAGGGATACTGCTGCTCATCTCTCTACTATTAAGTCACCTCTTACGCCACGGAAAGGAAAGGGTCACTTACGTGACTACACAACAGTTAGTTTAGGTATACAGATTGTACAGTCAGCAATAGAAGTCTCTGCTCATACTTAAATTTAAAAAATTTCTAAACGTATACTATAAACTATTGATTAAAGTAATTTACAAAACACTATTTTGCAAAGATTGCTTGATATAAATATGCAAAACATAACTGGACATCATTAGCGACAATTATCTTAACAGTAATAAAAACAAAAGTCGCTGAACATATTTGCAATATTTTTAAAAGGATTATTCCCTAAAATCTGTGGAAGTAATACAAATTTGTAACTTATAAAAATTAATTTTATTGGGGTTTTCTGGCCCGCAGTACGCGACTGACAGCGTGTGGACACACATAAGCTAGAACATTGTTGTTTGAAAAACAAAGAGTGCTTAAACAATGTTTTTTATCATTTTTGTCGGATGCATCGTGGAATTTCATGTTATTAAACTAATTAACAATTTGTAATTTTCTTTGTTAAAATTTATTTTTAATAATTTAATATTGGTGTTGTACAAAAATGATAGTGATGGGCGCATCCAGTGGGTGACTATCGTCTACTATTCTATCCGCCATGGACGACATTTCTGAGAACCCAATTTTGAACGTTTTGAAACATAACATTCGATCGTTGTTGGCTGCGGACATGCGTCTGTCGCCCGCCGCCGGTGACAGGTGCTCAGAGAAACCAGCTCCTTAAACATTACAAAACGACTTGTAATATATGTAGCAGATATCCAAAATAGCGTAGATAGTTATATCTAGCTAAACCTAATATTTTATGTTGAATTTTTATTATTGTTCAGCAATTTCTGTAATGTACTGTATAGCGATTTATATACAGATGTTTAGAAATGTATGGCTTAATGGCATTTATGTATTTAACTTTTTCATAACTTTAAAATGATAACCTTATGTTGTACTATTCTCTGTTGAGTAATTTTTTGTCACTTATGTTCAGTTGTTCTAAAGTTTTATTTCTTAATCGATTAACGTTGCTGACTGTACCTATGCGAACATTGAATTCTATTATTACTTCTCAAGTTAAAGCTACTGTTTATGCACAAATTACATTGTGTGTATTTCATGTGAATTAATGATGTTGATTACTCTTGTTCCGGTTGTTTATAAACATGTTCCAAGTATTGTAAAACCCTTCTCCGTTTCTAGATTACATTCACGAGAAATTTAAAAAATTGCATTTGTACTTTCATTAAATGCTTGAAATTATTTATAAAGTAATGCGAAAATAGAGGCTATAGAGGCATAAAACCTTAGTCTTTAGGAATGATAACGCATGAGGCATATCATTGACGTTATAGTATACTCTCTGGTTGCTATTGTTCGCGAATATACCTTTTTTTAAAATAAAATAAAAAATGTAAAACGAAATGTTTAAATTTTAAAATTTGCAAAAGTCCTTCTATTGTCATGATTGATAATGTTTTTCTGTTCACTTCTAGTATAAATGGCGTCTTTTAACTTTCTCCTTTATGCTTTTTACTTGAATATTCCTCCATTAAACACTCTATAATGGCCATAATGTCATTCATGAATGGTATGTCTATAGGCTAAGGTTACCACTTTCCACCAGGTCAGGTAATAATAATTTTTTTTAATTAAGTTTCTATTTCTCTATCTTTTTGGCTTCTATATTTATACAATTATACAAGTGCTACATGTTCTGTGATTTTCATTAATTTAACCTCATGTCATTTTTAGATCTTTATATCTACAAACTATTTACTAATGATGTGCTTTATCACCGTGGCATCATTAATAAATTTATAAACAAAAATTAAACGCATAATTTAAAAATGACCATGCAATGACGTCCCTAAACGCCACAAGTTCAATAAACAACTTATCGAAAGTGGTCGTTTAAAACTCTGTACTGTAAACAAACAAAAAATCAACATTACGGCTACTAAAATTAACGAAACCACACAGGAATAGTATAATGTGTTTATTTTGAGAACAATTGTATTAGCAGGTCGGAAGCAAGGCGAAGCGGGCCCGGTCAAGTGGGGATCTTAGTGAAACAATAAACAGCCTTTAGTTTAATTCCCTCCAACGCGCATTGTCCGACATTCTCTTTAAGCAAACATTTATGTATATTTCATAAGATTACATCACGACACCCTCAGCAGTTTTAAAATATAAAAGTTCAAATGATAACGTTTTATCCCTTTATGCGCTAGTAAGTAGGTACTTACTTTGGAACTGTAGGGCTTTAAATGCAAAACCCTAGAGGCTTTACAATAGCTAAGAACTTGCTTACGAAAATTATTATATCTGAATTAACGTATGTCGTTGTTACAACGACGATATTAAAGTTCAGTTTTTTAAGTGCAATTGTATATAATATAATACAGGAATATAATATAGACACTTTGTTCGGAAAAAAATATATTTAATTTTAACTTAAATAAAACACATTGTTGTGAAATACAAAGGAACTTATAACTCATTAGATAACTCGGGTAATCCAATGATCTACTTACCGTATATAGCTCTATGGCGCGTTTAATTAGTTTAAACCTATAACCATCCACCGCCAATTAGTAGATAGGTATACGACATCATTAGTTGAAGATAGAACTACGATACTGTAGCCTTATTGGTCTAGTTCAATTAGCTCCTATAAAGGATAATAGGTCAAGTTTGCTTGTCTACGTAATCAATTCGTAAGTAAACAAGAGTGAGCCTTTGAGTTTAACAGGATTTTGCAATTCAAATAGAACCGTGTGTTTGATTTGATGTGCTTGGTATCAAATATTACCTATACAAAACTTATATACTTACATTCATAACGTACACACACACACACATATATATATATATATATATATATATATAATTTATTTTAAACAAACTAATATTAATCATATTACTATTAAACTGTACAAACATTAATTTATACATAGACGCTAATATAAAATATAAAAAAATTGACATATGATGATTAACAAAATGAAGATAACATTTTTATTGGTAAAAAATCATTGTCGTTACCTTGCAATTTTAAAATAACATTATTAAGAAAATAAACATGTTATAATGCAATAATAATGATTTTAGCAGGTTTTAGTTACCATTTACATTTGTTATTAAGCGCAATTTATTTTTAGAAACCGCATATATCTAACTGTCAATAAAGGTTTACCGCAGCAAATTGGCACTATCGTATTTTTAAAAAGTCCTCATTATTAGTAAATTGAGAATTATACCTTGCCGTATTATATGAAGTATGTAATAAAAAATATAATTAATAAATATTATTGTTTTTAGCTGTATCCTGCGACTCCGCTCACGTGAACATAAAGTACATAAAGTATCCTGTGGGCTAAGTCAGGATATAATATACTTCGGTTCACGGGTAAGATTAAGATTTAATTTATATCCGTTTATTAGTTCTTATATAAAAGAATAACAAACATCCATCAATCGTTACAAACTTTGATTTTTTTCTTTAAATATATCTACTAAAACTATCATCTTTTCATTAAATACAAAAAACCAGCGTTATAAATAAAAACATTTTTTAAGACAACAGAATAATCCTTACTAATATTATAATTGTGAAAGTGAAATTGTTTGTTTGTATGTTACCTTATAGCGTCTTAACGGTAATCACTATAAGATACCACTAATCATTATGAAATTTTGGTATACTCGGGCTATATGGGATGGAGAAGAGTATAGGCTATTTATTCCGGTCAGTAAACATATTTTGATCATGCGAACGAAGTTGCGGTTAAAGTTAGTTACTAAATAAATTAAGAAAAATATTATATTGCATTCCACCACTTAAAATATTTTAATTAACTTTATTTTGACCTAAATCCTAAAAATAATACCTACCAATACTACGGATATCAAGAATTCACAATTTAAACAATAAATGGGATCTATTCAGCACAAGTGAACAGTTGGGGCGCATCAGCCATCCGTTCTATCCGTGTTAAGTGTAAACAGAGTGGAAAAGAATAGTGCGCCCGGAACAACGGCAATAAATATACTTGGTAAAGTAAACGTTATGAAATGATACACACGGTGTTTCTGAAAATGTTATACCTAATGTCTATCTACGAGAAAATTTATCTACTAATATAAAATTATTTTCTATTAGGGACTCTTTCCGGTTTCAAAAGTAAAGATCAAAACGTTAGTGATCTAGGGTTTTCCTTTATTTATTTATTTTTTAATAAAATATAGTTAGCTTATGTTACCAGCTACTAATGTTATATTTATTTAAGTAAAATAATTTTAAAATATGGTTCAGTATTTTTGAGACAGTTTATAAAGTCTTTGGTTTATTGACAATCACTTTTAAGCAAAGATTTCGGAATAGGTTTTAAGTAAATACTTTTATTCTAATTTACGTGGCCAAGGTTCTAGATTTAGCTTACAAGTGTTGCAAAGTGTGAGCAGATGCAAGTCGCTGAAAATTTGGCGTGAATTAACCTGAAATAGCCTAGTTACGAAAAAAGCTTTATTTTATTTGATTTCAAAATGATTCCCATTCCAATCTATTTTGTCGGCACTGTAGTTGAATTGTTTTTGTTGGTGTGTGTTGCGAATCTGTTAAACGTAGTAGTGTTAAAAAAAAACCTTGGTAGAGGACCAAGGTATTTTTTTCTAAAAGTTGTCTAAAATTTTAATAAATGATTTACATTTACAAGATTTTACTAAAATCGGTTGTGCGATTCTCTAATCCTATCTCTTAAACATATATTTTAATTTGCGAATTTTGCTAAAGTTAGGGGCATAATGTCCAAAACATTTTGTTAATTAAATTTAAAATAATTTTGGTCTAAATCTATTATAAATTTAGTACATATTGATCGTTACAATAAAAAATTCGATAATGGAATTTTAATTTTAAGGTGTTAAATTTAAGAGATAGCTTCGAGAATGGCTCCTGCGCTTCAAACATGATCCCAATATCAATTGATGGAATTTCTGTTATCAATCTCGATGTATGTCAATTACTAACAATACATCATCCCATCAGTGGCATTCATTAGATGAATAAATAGTTTAATTGGTTCGATTGTTTATAACATATAATAAACATTTAATAATATTCCCTACAATATAGTTGGTATTAGCTAAGTACTTACTACAGATTTAGTAATTAAGTTTTCAGATTATTAAAGAAATATTTTATTTATGTTTTATTGTCAAAAAAGTCAGCAAAATAACGCTCTAATACATTAAGGATAGTACCTGCGGTTTACTTTCTACGCTCTAGTGTCTATACTTCTTACACTCTTTGTATCAATTTTATCTTAAATAATAAATATGAGAATTTGCATTTATATGTTGACATTAAGAAAATAGAGATAGAATATGAAACATAAGTATACTAATTTTAGAACTACTTTCATAATAAGAAATATAAAAAAGCAAGTACAATGTAATATTATCAATTTGATCCAGAGCTATGGGGATGACTACATTTACCTACTATTATACTCTTTACATGCTTCACTTTGGTAATACAATTTTTACCACAGGCATTATCTTTTAAATCTTTGAATACAAAACTACAGTATAATCACAGATTAGAGATTATAGTAATAGTACTACAAAATCATGTATTCATACTTTTTCTCTTCTAATTTGGCAAGGTGTTGTCCATTATGTTACTAACAAACAGAAAAATTAAAACTATGTACTACGATAAAATTGCCAGTATATAAAATGAATATTAAAATACTAATAGAAAAAATGCGCTTTTATATTATATGACCTTAAAAATAGAAAAATAATTATAAAAGTCCGTTCAAGATAGACGAAAATATTACGTGTAATATTATACACAAACAAATTGTAAAAAAAATAGTCAAATCGAAAACATCCTTTTGATGTCAGTTGAAAACAATAAAATTTTCAAATTGATTACGTACTTATAAAACTCTGTAACATATATCAGTTGTAAAACACCAATAAGTGGGCAATAAGATTAGGTAGCAGCGGTCGAAAGAAATACTGGTGCGCCTGATTTATGCGCGATAGGAATTCGTTCGGGGCCCCTTTTTCAATAAGTACACGATAAGAATCATTGCCTATCGCCGCGTGATGGCGGACGAGGCATGCAATTAAATCTTTTATAAAAGTTCTACCCATGTGAGCTGTTAAAAATTTGCCTACAATATTGGCGTCGAAACTGCATTCCGAATATGGGATTAAAATGGCCATTTTAAGCGAATCATCTTAAGATTAACTTAATCGACATAATTTAGCTGAGTGCATAGATTACAAAATTAATTCAAATGTAATTTCTTTTAACAGTATTTTATTTTACAACATTTTATTTTTCATGTATGATATTTTACAACAAATTTAATAGTTTTTTTTTAATATATGATTTCACTTATTGTTTTATCACTGGCAATGATATTATAATATGTAAATAAAAAAAATCATAAGTGCGCCGTGAGTAAAATATATATCTAAATATAATATTAGCTTTCGTCTTTTAAAAATTATTGATGTATATGATTTTAAAATGTAAAATAATTAAAGTGACACCGTAAATTAGCAAAATAAAAAGAAAGCAAAAAATTGTTTTTACATTCATGTAAGTTTTTAAATGGAAGTCTATGTATGAGTATGTAGGTATTGATTAGATTTTTACACCTAAACTACTGGAACAAATCGGATGAAAATTCACAGATTGCGATACCTTGAAACAATACCTACTTGCTAGCATAGCAATTATTTTGTATTATATATTTCTGTATTATATATTTTTGTATAGATTATCGCGATATATACATAAGTACAAATTCATATTTTTTATAAATTATTACTAACATAATGACAGCTTACTTCATTTCGATTGTAAGAAAATATTATTTATATTCTGATTTTAGTATTATAGGACTTTGTATTTTTATTATTATATCAAGAAACACACACACACACACATATATATATATATATATATATATATATATATATATATATATATATATATAAAACTATAGAGCTAGGACTTGAAATATCCAATTACTTGAAATGTTTGTTAGTCAGTTTAGAACTAGATTTGCCATCAATACGCTACATTAATGTTGCTATCTGTAGAAACTAATTTAATTATATATATTTAATCTACCATATATATATATAAACACATAGTTGATAGTTTTTTATTTTTATTTTTGCTATTGAATGACCCGCTATTGATTACGTTCTCAATAAATGTAGATGTAAAAGTAATAATAATAAAAAAATTTAGATAGTTAAAACATTCGCTGAGCAACGAAGTTATTTAAAACTTGTTACCATTTAGACACGAGTCGCACGTTTCATCAACACCATTATTTGAACAAGTCGAAGGAATTGTCTCTGAAAGTATGTTAAATTATATTAATATAGATATAGGGCTCAAAATCTATATAATGGATATAATAATAATTTTTAAAGCATTACATAATCAACTAATAGCCTTATCCTTAAGATATAATACCTTTTGCTGTGAGGAACCAGACAACAAACATCTGGGTAAAAAATTCACTCACAATTGGGTCAACTTAAACAAAGGCCATTTCATACATTGATTGGACCAAAAATCAAACACCGACCTCATTATGAAAGCACTGTACTCCAATCGTTGCGCCACGGAAGACGTCGTTTAAATTTTTATTTTAATTGAATCGTCTATTTTTAGGTCACTAAGAAATATTTATATTACCTACTCGTAATTTAAAATAAAAACAAGCGACCTAGCTAAACATAGTCAGCACTGTGCGATACTATCCATATGCTTTGCCATACCTTAGAACTTTATAAAAAAAATGCATTAACAAATGGCTCTTATTATTAAGACAACTAATGTTTGCGTTGCTGCTTAACGGAAGAAATAGTTATGACAATAATATTTTTATTTTCTAAAGTTTAGTATTATTTACATTACAAAAAGAACCCGAAATTTATATTACCGTACAAAATCTCGTACATATCATAACACGCCAATTAAATAAAAAAATAAAAACTATAATTAATTAAGAAGTAAATGGAATAAAATATATATTATATAAAAAAAATATTCGGAATGTTTGGAAACGTTTAAATTAATATAAATTGTCCTTGATTTAGAAACAATTGTCGCAATATCTGCATAATTAAGTTAAATAATAGATAAGTAGAGTACCATTATTTATCTGCGATGTGAATTTGCTTTATTTTGAATAGTAACAAAATAAACTTTTAGTTGTTTTATAAAAATCTATATTTTTGAATTAAATTAAAAGAATAAATATTGTCATTTTTATTATTATAAAAAAAGAGTTTTTCCACCAATAACTGAAAATAATATATTTTTTTTTTAATATTTATTAAATATACTTATTCTGTAAAATTGTGTGCCGTACCCAAAAATCTCGCAAGGTATCACTATATTAGTATATTTTTAACCGACTAAAAAGAAAAATTAATATGAATTGTATTTTTTTATTTTTGTTACTTTAAAACTTCGTTGTTTATAAATCGTATAGAAAATTATTTTTTATTTGAATTACAGAATACCTTTAGATTATTTCAAAAGAGATTTCATCAAAATTGATTCGATAGTTTGGTGTTTAAATCGGAATAACTGTATTTTATTGTGGAACAAAATTTACTAAATGTAAATTTAAAATGATAACTATATGTAGAAAAAATTACTACCATTTAATTTTAGATTATAATTTAACATATTATTTTTAAAAGAAAATTTAATACAACCATTAAAAACTTTTTGTACACGACTATACCTAATCTCTAATAAGATAATCAGAAATGTTCTCTAACTATTATCGTTGCGGTATACGTCCACCAAACTATTACCTTTAATATCTATTTCGACGTCACTAATTTCATCCCTACACTGTGTAATGTAAAAAGAAAATAACACGTAACCGATTATTGAAATAAATATATATTGACTGTATGATATTTTAGTCTCAACTTACTTGTTTTCAAAAAATCTTTTATGAAGTCGAATTAGCAAATAAATTAAAAAAAAAACAGTGTTATTGCAAAATTTCAGCCATTCTTTATCCTAAATTTTTTTCCCATTTCAACAAATTCAATAATATTGGTGCTAATTAAGGCGGTATAACTTATTATATTAATTAATCAGTATAAATACAATTTGTTTAAAAAATATTACTTATGAAATTCCAAAGCACTCACCTCACAGCGACGGTCTCTAACGGGAACTACTCTCAATTTGGTCTAGCCAACGTGCACTCGACGCTGCGTTACTTTTCCAACTGACAGCCGCGCGCCACCGCTGGGCGGGCGCGATCCAGACACGCCCCTGCCTACTTCAGTCATGAAAAAAAGGCTGAATCTATTTTCAAACGGTTCTACATTCTCATATAAAAAAGAACAAGTAGAATGGATTTATTGATCTTCCACTGTTTACGACTTTAAAAATAGAATGTTGACTTTTTCTGTTACTCTTTTTAATTACGTTGTCTGCCTACGCACCCAATATTGACCAGGAAATAAACTCCAAGTAATCATTTTTCACAATTATAATGAGATGTTTGTGTAACTAACATAATATTGGATCTAAATACAATAAATATATTTATTTAAATCATTTATTAAGCTGAATGCCGTGTGGAAAACCTATCTTTAATTTTCCCTAATATATATAAAAATTAGAGTGCGATAGCATAATAGTGAAAGAGGGCGGAGCACAGACCACTCCCAGGGGATAACGCGAGAAAATAAATTGATCCAGCAGCATTTGAATTTTTATACTTCATATGGATTGCAGATCAAAATGTGCCCGACCATTATAAATGATTACCATTTTATCGATTCTATATCAAGAATAGAATTTCATTATGAATTTATGGGGGGTATCATGGGCGAAACAGTATACTCTGTTATGTCCATGGTACTGCTCATGTCTATAGGCGACGGTTACCACTTTCCATCAGGTGGGCCTTTAGCTTGTTTGCCATTGTAAGTTGTATAAAAAAAAATTCTATATTAAGAATAAAAGCAAATAGAAATTTCGTTGTTACAACTCTTAGATTACGCTCAGGACATTACCCAAATGTAAAATTCGCTTTTCTTATGATATAAGTTAATAATCCGAATTGTGATGTTTGTAACACATTGGATGATGTTCAGCGTATGATATCCGAATGTACGAAATCCAAAACGCAAAGGGAAGTATTGATACAGAAATATAGTCTCAATAAACAGGAGATTGGTTTATTTTCAAATATACTCGCAGATCCACATTCCGGAATGACAAAATTTTTATTTACTATATTTTTGTATCAATAATTCTCTTTATTAAAATAGACTTCTAAGATATTATGTATTATTTATTTATGTATTAATGTTTTAAGTATGTGAGGTATTTTTAAAAATTAGGGTATGATGAGGCTGACATATCTTTATAGGATAAAGGCCTCTTAATAGAAAAGATAAAAAAAATATTAAGAATAGAATTTCATTAGGAATTTTTAATTTAACGTGATTGATATGTAACATGCAGACACCCCAGCCAAATAAGTGTAATAACTAATATCACCAACACTGCCTATAAAATAATTAATCTAGCGCCTTTATTATACATTTTGAAATATTAAATCATGATAAAACGTAAATTTAAATGATATTAAGCGATAAACAGTTTTCAATACTTAGCTTGCTAGACTACGAAGCGCGCGAGCTACGAAGTGCTACGAACATAGTAATTGACGACTTGAGAACCTGCGCGGCGTAGTAATGAACACGTTACTATAACTAGGCGATTGATATGATTGTACAGTACTTATATAACTATTATAATATTATATAAAATATATTACGGTTTAATGCTGCTCTTCACTTAAAATACTTCTTTTTTTGCTATAATTTGCTTGCACTTATCTCTTTATGTAACATGAAAAATATAAAATTTAAGAAAAAATAATATTTTATATTACAAATGCTAATAAAAAATAAAAACATTAAAAAAACATAATTATCAATAGTAATCATCTTTAAATTAGATATATTAATCATAGATTATAATTGTCTTACTCTCTATTATCTACTTCAACAGAGTTTAAAAGGGGTCAATAAGATGGTTTTTGTCCATGTTCCTCAATCTCTTAGACAATTTTGATGAACCAAGTTTGATGTTTATTTTTAATTCGATTACTTTGATTTGAGAGTATATTACTCGAAATTTATTGCCAAATACAGGACAATTCAAATAATTCTAATCTTTTTTGAAATTTTTGTTTATTGTTTTCAATTTTTTTTAAATAAGAAGATACATTAAATTAAATATTAAATTAAATTCTAACATTAAAGAATTATTAGCACATTAGTATCTATTTACAAAAAAATACCAATAATGAGTGCACTTAATATTTACAAAAATTACATAAATCACATAAAAATAATTACACTACCTGCCACCACAACAAAAAAAGCTATTTATTATAGCAACGCTATAGCTAAGTAGGGGCAATAAAAATGAGGAATTATTTTTAATAATATTGCGGCGGTGGGGAGTGTAGTGACAGCGATATTTTGGACCTAATACCAACCCTTATTACTACGCATTCTTTACCCGTGCTATTGGGCACTGGGTAATAATATCACAGACTTACTTTACGACCTCACTGGAGTTTTATGTGAGAATAAAGTATGACCTATGACTTTATACGTGCTTAGGAGAGATTTATATGGCATTGCTAGTAGTTACAATATGATTTCATATTTCGAAGGAAAAGTGCTTAATTTTACACTTAATTACGAAAATATTAAAAAATAAACAAAAAGGAAATGAAAATCACTAAATTGATATCACTCAGCTATATTCCACGTTCTTTTAAACATAAGCCTGATTGAATTGGATGTTAAAAGGAGGGCATATCAAAATCAAACAAAAAAAAAAAATACTGAACTGAACTGTTAAAAAATGGTGTGCAAAGTATGTACGTACAAAATTAATCCAAGATCTTCCTAAAATAGAAACTTTATTTTAGGAAGATCTTGGATGAACGTGATGAATGCGTGTCTAGATGCGAATGTAAGATATATATAACAATAAGCTTAATTAAATAAAATTATGTTAATAATAATAATATCAAAAATTCACACTATATTCATTGAACTGCGTAGAGGTCGATCTTACAGAGACCTTGTAATGTAATTTTAATTGGACATTCTCTTTTCCATGCTATCATGGCTAGTAACAGCCAGCCCAGCTTGCCTAGAAATACATAAGCTTCCTAGGATCTTCACAGGTGGAGCGACTTCATTATTTTGAGGTTTTCAAAACGTTGTGGCTCCACAGCTATTCATTTCAGGATTGCGTGAACAGCCGTTTCTTTGGCATCGAAATATCCTCGGCATAGAGGACTGTCTGTGACTCCTATTACGTATAAATGTTTGTTTAAGGAGCAATGGCCTGTTATGGTCTCTAACATTGTTTTAAGGTTATTCCTATCTAAATATGATAAACATTTTGATAGTCCGTTAATTTAACATTATTTTTTTTATGCAACTTACAATGGCAAACAAGCTAAAGGCCCATCTGATATAAAGTAGTAACCGTCACCTACATGAGCGTCATCATACATGAGCAGTACCATGGACATAACAGAGTATACTGTTTCGCCCATAATATCCTCCATGCGTTGTCATTCCTGAGGACTCAGGTGTTATTCCTCTGTATCCTATAAATTTACTGCCATATCCCACCCTTCAAACTAAAACACAGCCATGCAAACACAACTGCTTCACGGTTGAAACACGAATGGGACAGAGGTGCCCAAGCGAACGACTTTTGTACAAAGTCTCCCTCTGGTACAATTGGTGCGGTCAATTTTGATTGTCTGCAATCAGCAGTCTGTATCCATCTTTGATGAATCCATATTCGAAACTGGAAGAACGGAAGAGGGTGAAGTGGATACGAGCCTACGGCTTTTGTTCCAGAACTCCTTCTAGCTAGTTCACCTGTGGCATCGTTACCATAAGATCTACTGTGCCCCTTTATCCATTGGAGAATAAGTTAATTATTGAAAGATATCCTATCCAAGGATATGCCTGGATAAGATATCTTGTTAGTGGCATTCAATTGTTAATTTGTTATTTGTCTTGCTGTTTCGTAGTGCTTTTAGTAACGCTGCGCTATCAGATAAGAATCTAATGCCAAGGTCATTTATTCCTAGCTTATGTACAGCTGCAGCAGTCTCGCTTATTGCTACACATTCGCATTGGAATATCGAGCTGTACTCGTCAAGCGGTATGTGTATGTTTATATTAAGGTCTAGGGAAAAGACTCCTATTCCTAAACCGCTCTCAATTTTGGAGCCATCCGTGTGTATCCGTAATTCATGTACATATTCCAGATTGATCCTTTTCTTCTTCTTTTATTTGTATTTGATATTTTTTGTTGAATATATAAAGATTATGAGTCCCTATCACACGGAGCCGCAATTAGTAGTTCATATCCAATTGCCTGGTTGAGAATTGAAATGTGGGGCAGTTGATTTACCCCATAAGTCGAGATGCATTAATTTGATAACGGCTAAACCTGCTTTCCGCTGTATATGCAGATCTAGGAGTTTTATGTCGAGGGCCACCTCTATTGCTGTCATTGGAGTTGTTTTCATGCAACCGCTGATAAAAGAACACAAAGCATACTTTGTTTACAATATAGGGCCAATAATAGGGACTATTACGAGAAATCTATTTAGCAATTATTTCTTTAAAATGAAAATAACAAAAACAGGGAGACAATATACATACACGTAACGTAATACAATACATATAGGTACGTAATATAAATAACAAGTAAAAGTCCTGCCTTGACGTTGAGTAAATTAATCGATTTTGATGTCTATATTTGTCGAATGTAAACAAAAGTGTTCAATTCGGAGTTATACCATATTGTAGGAGTTAAGTGTCGTATCTGTAACTCTGGCTGTATGTAACAGCAATCTACTGCACAATTTACAAACAAAATATTGTAACTATCAACTATTATTTTGGACGCGACACTGGTGTTTGTGGTACAGCGGTGTTGCGTTAGCTTACCGCAGAGGATATCTCAGTGACTCATGGATCGGATCTCCCCCACCCAGAACTTTTTTATTTATATTGAATTTTATTAAAAAAGCTATCAGGGAACAAAAAATATCTTTTGAAAAATACTACAGAAGTTCACAATATTTTGAAAACGTAAAGTACAAGTAAGTAAAATTTTTTACCGCAATGAAATTTATTTGTTGCAAAACTATAATA